ATCTGTAAAGTTGACAAAGCGTACACTTCAATTTCATCAACATGTTAAATTGTTTTATCACCTTAAGTAACGATTCCGTAAGAAATATTCCTGTGAAATTTACGTAACAGTTTTAGTAATTTACGTTATGGTGAAAAGTTGCATGGACGACAATGGAAACCATAGAATCAGTACTGTTTCATATTAGTACGTCTGCTGAATTCATGAAGTGTCAGAAAATATCAAAAACACATATAAGTACAAATAAGAAGTGGTAAAATGCGAGGACTCATTCATACATACCGTCCACCAATGATGTTTGCCATGAAAAACTTGATTCTTCATTGAACAACGCTCCCTGCTCGCATGCAGAAATTCAACGGGTGCTAACACGTGACTTTAGGTGCCTTTTGGGGGTTCCTATTTAACGTCATGGACAAATATAACTGTCAATTAAACGTAAATTACAAAACGTAAATTACATTCGGTTTATCTTAAGTGATCATCCGGGTTCTGCGGTTCTGTTTCTGCTTTAATGTTGTATTAAACTGTAGAGGGTAATGTCGTTTCAAAGTAACCAATGGTCCCATAATGCTATGCAGCAACTCTACAATATAATCACCGTCACGTATGATTACGTTCTTAAAAAATCGGTCATAAAATCGAACATTACTGGTCTGTATTCAACTAACATGTATCTTTCGTTGACAATAAATGCTTGTTATCTATACTAGAACATTTCAGGTCCTAAATAACACATATTTTGGTATTGTATCAGTTTCGAGCTATTAGCTACCGGTAATACAATCTGACATAACGTAAATTACACGGGTGGTGTAGACAATTGTTAATTGGTTATATTGAAATTGTGTATGTTTGATAATGCGTGTTTAATGTTTCATGTCATAAACAGTACCTGACTGCTTTCAAAACAAACCTACATTTGAGTCGTGGTAGCGGTTGTCCTCTTAGTAGGCAGCTTTTATTGACGAATACGTCACTTACCGACACCAGAAAAAACGTACCCCCTACCTATGTATGTCAATCCATCTAAACATTGTTTAAATTACTGGTTAACTTTCTTGATACTTATGTGTCCCATACTTTACTTGTTATTATTAATGTATTTTAAGATACGAAAGTGCTTTTGTTTTAATGAATCGCATCTTGCAAACTCGTCGACGGCAAATGTGCACTTTAATTGAGAATGAGTGCTGTATGGATGAGCCGCAGCAAACGAAACAGAATAATATCTGACACAAGACAGCTCCCATTTAAAAACTAATTTCATTTGGGACACACTTTAGAGATCACACCGTATTTAAACATGTAATGTTTTTTAAAGTTAGTGAAGTTGTTGTGAAACCAAGGTATTGTGAGAACAAACAAAGGATCGGGACGTCGGGAGAGTGAGTGAGGTTAGTTTTACGTCGCACTCAGCAATATTCCAGCTATATGGCGGCGGTCTGTAAATAATCGAGTCTGGACCAGACAATCCAGTGATCAACAGCATGAGCATCGATCTGCGCAATGGGGAGTCAATGACATGTGTCAACCAAGTCAGCGAACCTGACCACCCAATCCCGTTAGTCGCCTCTTACGATAAGCATGGGTTAATGATGATCAATATTCTGCAAAGGACCTATCTCCATACGATGATTTGCGAGATGATGGCACACAGAGCAGATTCTGATCACCCGAACGAAGAGTTCTTGATGGTCTGTAGCTGGTTATGAGACATTGCAAATACTGTGGTGCAAGACCATGCGTTGCTTTAAACACAAGGAGGAGGATATTGTACTGAATCCTACTGAGTACAGGCAACCAATGTAGTTGACGGAGAATTGGACTTATGTTATCAAAATATCTTGTCCTTGTAATGAGTCTTGCGGCTGAATGTTGAGCAAGCTGTAACTTGTTAACGAGAAGTTAGACAATGGAGCAGTTCAGTGTTTTCAATATTTGTCTTCTTTTCGCTGATTAAGCAGCACATGATTCTTTATAGTGGACGATAAACCCAATAGGAATGCTGACTTTGCATGCTTCAATAATTTAATCAATCACTCTTTCCAAATATGTCAATTCATTATAACAAAAATATGAAAATCTTAACAATTTATGACTTTGCATGATTATCAAGGGTTTTCAAAGTAATATAGCTATATTCGTTCCTGAAGGAACATAGCACTGAGGTAAACGTGGAATTAATTCCCTTATAAAGTTGATTTTGGACGTCTACAGGACATTTATTGTACCTTACCCTCGCCTTGCGGTTGCTAAAATCACAAAGACTCTGTCACAAATCATAAAGTTTCTGTCTCATAAATCACAAAGACTCCACTCTCACTGTAACCAATATCCCTACCAGTGAACATGTGGAAACTAGAAACTAGAAACAGATTATGTGATAGTCCTTCTAACAAAACATGACCACTGGTTTGTGGGAGGTATGTGTTCTAATTATCTTTCATTATTTTACCCATTGCGACAGTCTTAGCAGTTTTCACAAGTGCGTTGAAATATTTTATTATTGCATTTTAACTCACTCACTGCATACGTTGACTGAAATATTGGCAATGTAACGTTATGTCATAATCTACTCACTCAATCACTCCATAGGTGACCGCCTCCGTGGTGTAGTGGTTAGAGCGTCCGCCCAGGGAGCGGAAGGTCGCGGGTTCGATCCCCGACAGCGTCATACCAAACGACGTTAAAATATGGCGCTCGGCATTAATGGGTACAACAAGGACTGGTCGGCTCGGAGGCAGTATAATGTGTCTGAGTGGGGTATTCAGGCTTCACTGCGGCATGGTATCTCAGTGGGCTAGCACTATAAAACCAGCTTAAGTCTGGGCTAGTACAAGCAGCCGCACATACACATACACACGCATGCACGTCGTCATATGAGCGAAATATTCTCAAGCACGACGTAAAACCCAATTTCACCTCACCTCACCTCACTCCATAGGTGGACTGAAATTGACGTCATGTAACAATATTCATAATTTTGATAGTAACAAATATACCCATTTAAATTGAAAAGGAACCCCGGCGAGATGGGAGATTCAGAACGTGAGGAAATCTAGACTTGCTTCACTTGGTGTTTTAGGATTGCAGGCAATGCTAGACAGTAGGGAAAATAATTTGGTTCAGGGACTGTGAGACAGACTAAGAAAGCGTGCTGAGAGGTATTCACTAGCTTGTGTCTAATTCTGTCACTTCTGTCCCCGGTTTTCCTTTCGTTGATTCTGATCATGTAATTTGTTGGACAGTGCATTCCAACACTTGACCCAAATGTTCGGCAAACAGACTCGTAACATCCTCGGTTCCGATCGGGAAACACAAATATGTCAGATTCACCTACACAATCTTCTGGGATTGTCGTCACTAACGCGTATGTGTAGGGCTCAGTGTATTCTAAATGTGTGACCAGTGAAGGTCCGCCGGGTTAGAATGAATCTTCAGTAACCCATGCTTGTCGTAAGAGGCGACTAACGGGATCGGGTGGTCAGGCTCGCTGGCTTTGTTGACACTTGTCATCGTATCCCAATAAATACGTTGGCAACCAGGCTAGACATATTGACTGTGAATTTACGAAAAAGCACAATAAAATAAAAAAAATTCATAAACAAAAACATAAATAACTTAGTGATATATTGGTGTTACATATGGACAGAGCGTCAGAGCATAACTAATGTTTAACATAATGTGACGGTCATGGTAATGTTCTGACGTGATCTGCCCTGTTTGTATGTTGTTTTATGCCGCACTAAGCAATATTCCACCTGTTTGCGGCGGTGTGTCATTCTCTTCCCACAGAGGTTACTTGTCATATCTTCCTACGAAAGAAATGACAAGTAACCTCTGTGGGAAGAGAATGGCGGTGTGTAAGTGATTAAATCTGGACAGGACCATCCTGTGATCAACAGTATGAGCATCGATCTACACAACTGGGATACGATGACATGTGTCAATGTCAGCGAGTCTGATCACCCGATCCCGTTAGGCGCCTCTGACAAGACCATTTCTAACCCGGATCTTCACGGGTTCTGCCCTGTCAAACGTTGGTGTCGGCAGGGCAGATTCTCTATGCTTCTGATTCCTTCGTGGCGGGAACGGGGTGGTGACGTATCCTAATGGTTAAAGCGTTGGCTCGTCACGCCTAAGACCCTGGTTCGATTCCCCACATGGGTACAATGTGTGAAGCTCACTTCTGGTGTTCCCCGCCGCGATATTGCTGGAATATTGCTAAAAGCGGCGTAAAACCATACTCACTCACTCGTGGCGAGAACAATGGAGGACACATACCAAAAGTACCTTACCATAAGTGTCCACACGTTGTACCCATGTGTATGTATGTATATCCATGCATGCGTGCGTGCGTGTGTGTGTGTATGTATGTGTCTGCGCGTGCCATATTCTTTTCAATAATTACCTCATGAACATTAGTATGTCGTGCTCACTCATTGCAACGTGGTTTGATATTTCGGTTTCAGACTGATTTGGTCCGTTTAAGGTAATTACTATGTCTGTGCCCAGCTGTCCGACTTTCATTTTGTGGAAGTCGCGGTGACTGAGAAGGTTAGGCGGCTGACTTAGTGTGCTGGCGATTAGGTGGACTCTGGGGATGTGGGTTCGAATCCCGGATGGGACTCAACCCCAAAAGTACTAGAATCTGTACTTTACTAAGAAAGTGTAATGCCAAATATAACACGTTACATTCGACCACTTTCTAAAATGGCATTGTTTAATGAGAGCAAAGTAAGGTATGGAAATGAGACGGATAACCAGTCAAACTTCATATTCAAGTTTGTACTTTAAAACCGTAAGTAAGTACTATTTCGTTCCTGAAAAGTAGGAACTCATGCAATATAAATCCGGATCAAACAGGAAAACCAGAAGATTCATGAGTGGAGATTGCTCTCATTAAGCCTCGACGAGTTATCTCCCTGGAGGGGGTATTTCCTCTCGAATGCGCTCTTACCAAAGGGAGGTAAATCTTTCTCAAAACAAAATGGCCGCGCCCAAGGCGTGCATGTGTTGTTGAACGTATCTTGTGTTATTTTGGTGTTTCTGACTCAAAACTAACGTCCAACATGGGGAAAGTGAAACGACAACGATCTAAACTCCACAACACGCCCATTAAACCAAAGAAAGAGGAGAAGACTAGCTTAGTCGACAAAACTAAAGCAAATGTGGTTAGTTGAGTTGCAGAGGCACGGGCAAATTGTGTTTAATGTCAATGATCCTGTACCATGTAGCTCAGACGGGTAGTCTAGACCAGGTAGGGGAAACCTAGCCGTTCTGCCTGTTTTGCTAGAGGCCGATCGGGCTATATTTGAACATTTTTCTAATTATTTCAGAAACTATCAATTTCCGCATGGAAATTCTCAAAATGGGTTTGAATGAATGATGAAAACCTTAGGACATCAAAACCTGAATGATGTTAACATCCTCAAATGTATTTGATAAATATCATAATTATAGGCCGATCGGCCAATGGCAAATTAGGCAGAATGGCCTATAATGTCCCGTTTGGCCTATTTTAGGCCAATCAGTTGGTTTCCCCAACATGTAGACTCTAGTCTATACAATTACAAATCGGAAATTCCATGATTAATATGTTACACTCTATTCTACCAGTCTAAGTAAACTTAGGCTCAGTATTATTTGTTACACATCTGAGCCTAATATTGAGCGTAAGTTTACTTCGACTATCTATTCTTCAAAATAGACCGCCACCATATAACTGGAATATTGCTGAGTGCGGCATAAAACTAAACTCACTCACTCACTCACTATTCTTCAAAATAATTGTACTTGACTAAAGTGAGTTTTTTTAATGAAAAACAAAGTAAGTTATTTCTCAGTCCACATAGCATATGCAACCTGCAGTTCATGATGTTTCTTATTTTTATTCTGGGGCGGTGGGGTAGCCTGATGGTTAAAGCGTTCGCTCGTCACGCAGAAGACCAGGGTTCGATTCCCCACATGGGTACAATATGTGAAGCTCATTTCTGGTGTCCCCCGTCGTGATATTGCTGGAATATTGCTAAAAGCGGCGTAAAACCAAACTCACTCACTATTCTTATTCTCTCCACTTCCAGACGAATGGTTCCTCTAAAGCTGCAGTCGAGCCCAAGGATGTTTCTTTGTCTGACAACATTTTCAGCTCTCTGAAGATAGACAACAAAGCTCTTGCTCAGAAACTGCCAGACTTCGACACTCGCAGTACAGTGACCAGCAAAACGTTCAAAGGATTGAATCTCAAGAAAAAGGACAAGAGGAAAATCAGACATGAAGTTTTCATGCAGAGTGAGTATTGAACATGTTCCATGTAGAACAATGTGCTGTAATATGCAATAATGTGCAGTGAGCGCATCACTGAAAGTCTGTGAAAGTGTTATTGGTTATGTTACCATGGATACATGAGATTTGCATAGTTTTATGATTACTGAAGGTAAAGGTAGACTATAAATGTTGTCATCCACTTTAGCATGTGATTAAGTTTCAATGTTATGTGTGTTATTTAATTGTTTTGTATTCATTTATCATGTTAAATCAGCATGATCCGTGATCAGTTGAGTAAAACATTCTTTCAAAACTTTTATAAAAATATTGTCTACTTTTTATGCTGCACTTATTCCATCTGATATCTTTTAATTTCTGAGTTTAGACTGTTTATCACAGCTCTTATGGTTAACAAATCATCTAAGAAATTTTTCAAAACTTGTAGTGAAAAAACTGAGCTGTTATTTGATCAATCCCATATCTTTTAACGTCAATGAACATGTTTCAAACATACATTTGTGGAGCATTACAACAAAACTATACTGGAGAAAGAACATACAATATTGGCACTCAGAAGTTACTTGACATCTCTACTTGACAGAAATTGATGCAGTGAAGGCAGCCAAACAGAAGGCCAAGGACAAGAAGAAGCGAGAGAAGACCCCTATTGTTGGAGACATGTCAGTGATGGAGGAAGCGCTCCCCACGCTGGAGTTGCTGATGAAGGAAGGCAGCAAGTCCCAGAGGCAGTCAGTATATCATGCATCAGTATATCATGCATAAGGATATCATTCCTCAATATATCGTGCATCAGGATATCAGTCATTAGAATATTGTTCATCAATATATCCTAGTCCTTATGTCAGAAAATTATGTACATGTTGTAGAAATACACTTTCAAACTTTGAGAAAAAAATTATGAAAATAATCCAAAACTGTCATAATTCAGCTGGAATGCATTTGAGTGCTGTGTTAAACAGCACCCAAACTTCACTTGTAAAAGGGACATTATACAGCCATGCGATACTCATTATTCACACATTTGTTATTCTGGATATTTTAACAGGGAACACTACTTTCCAGATTGATAGGGTTCCACTGTATATATATAGACATACATGACAGTTTGGTGAGACATATGTTTATGAATGACAGTCAGGAAGTCATGATTACTGTTGATAAGAATTGACAGTCTGCAACAAAAATGTTCCTTTATGCTAGAAATTTCTGCCTTAGTATTCATTAGTGTTGGGAATTGGTTAAAATCTCATAATTGATGATTGGTTCATTACCACCGATCAATCATCGAAAATAATTGGTTAGCGTTATTTATGAAATTTGTTAATGCACAAAAACATATATAAAAAATATGTAGTTATTTTAGGGGGTTTGAGCAAAATTTCACATCTCTAAAGGATGACTAGTATGTTAGGAACATAAATTTCTTGGTGTCTTTAAGATAAATTCAATCATGACTTGGAATGAGCTTATAATGCTTATGAAATGTAACAGATAAAACCAACCTTGTGAAAAATATTGTTGATGAAAACAAGTGTTCCAGAATTGTTTGTGTTCGATTATGAGAAAACGTGATCGATTGCTTGGTCGTTTAGTCACTGCGACCAATCTTCGATTATTTCAATTAATCGGATCACCACTAGTATTCATATTCAGGGAAGTCACACGTAAATTGGACTCAAAGCAAGTAGAAATACTGTCTGTATTTGAGAGTGTTCTAGTTACTGAATGTGTTTCCCATGATCAGGATCATGGTCTGATGAGTCATCTCGGTGAGTTATCTTGGTGAGTTATCTTGGTGTTCGACTTTCAGATCCAACCCTGAGAAGGTGAGAGGCGTGGCCAAGGAGAGGAAGAGGAGGAAGCAAATGTAAGTCCCCAAATTGTATCCGTGGTTACAGTTCTAGTGAGCATGGAGAGTCGGGATGAAATATGTCAGTGTCCATGGAATTACCCATATACAAATCATACCACATTAAATGTTAGTGACAACAACATAAAACTAAAAGCCAAGGTGATGTGTATAAAGGTCAAGGTGATGTGTATAAAGGTCAAGGTGATATGTATAAAGGTCAAGGTGATGTGTATAAAGGTCAAGGTGATATGTATAAAGGTCACGGTGATGTGTATAAAGGTCACGGTGATGTGTATAAAGGTCAAGGTGATGTGTATAAAGGTCAAGGTGATGTGTATAAAGGTCAAGGTGATATGTATAAAGGTCACGGTGATGTGTATAAAGGTCAAGGTGATATGTATAAAGGTCAAGGTGATATGTATAAAGGTCAAGGTCATATTATAAAGGTCAAGGTGATCTCTGGGAATTGGCAAATACATGTAAATGATTTGGGTACCTATGATTGAAATCATGGTGAAGATAAATTCATGGTTGTCATGAGAGTCAGCAAACAGGATCTGGAGCCCAGGCCCACTGAATTGGTCGATTCATATCCAACTGGCCTAGATGAATTCATGTTTGTCTGGTCCAGACCTTTTACAAATTGACATCTTAAAACTGAAATATTGCTAAGCGTAGCAATAAATAAGAAGCAGACAAAGCAAAATCCAGCACTGTTATGTATATGCCAAGATTGTTGATAATATTAATGTGAAATAATATGATGGCGCTTTCACGAGTTTCACTCTCTCTGATACAAATTATGATGAAATATGTAATCAATCTCAACCTCAATGGTAGTTAAATCAAGATTTGTTGTACTTGGGTGTAAAAACCATGGCACACAGAAATGCTGACAACAATATCATCTATAGTATCTTGTTTAGCAATAAAACAGACATCTTGATCTGAACGTTGGGTTTAATCACTCCGTACCCACTTGCTGATGCATTCTGATGCAGCCATTATTTACATGCTTTCAGATCTGAATGCAAAGAGGTTTCATTTGGAATAAGATCTGATTTTAATGTGATGTAATAATAATAATGGATTTGTATAGCGCCTAGTTTCAACAGCGCTGAAATCACGTGATTATCATTGCCCCGGATGATTTGCCTGTGAGGCGCTAGAAGGTTAATAGTCACATGACTTATCCCACCGGGTACCCATTTCCTACTGGGTGAACAGAGGCAAGTTTGAACAAACTCGATTGCCTAAGGTGAGACCACATGTATCACATGTGCTTTGTTGTGGGGCAGAACAGACGTCTTAGAAACTCTCAGAAGTCAATCTGCCAAACAGGGTCACCCATCCAAGGACTGTCTGCGCTGAAAGTTATTTATCTTCTACTGATTTGTGACCTGACCTCTATGTTTGTATATCTTGTGCACAGGTTGTCCGATATGGCCATCTTCAAGCAAGTCCTGGCGCACCCTGCCTTCATCGAGAACCCAACAGCCACCATTGCCGAGCATCTGCAGAACAAACTGAAGCAGGAGGAGGACGAGGAGATGGATACGTGATCCGTGGGGGATGGGGTTTGTTGGGGAGGGGGTTACTTGTGGGATGGCGGATGATACCAGTGTATGAAATAAGGCCAAAATCCAGCCAGACATCAGGCAGCCATAACTTCAAAATGTTACCAGCCCAAATTGGATTTAACCAGACCAGACACCAAGATATGGTGAATTTACTCAGATGTATGGAATATCTAACACATTTACCACACCATCGGGCTGGCTAGCTGTAAATTTAGACCGTCCGTCAGAAACCTAGCCCGTCTCGAGCAGTCGGACGGGCCTTATTTCATACACTCATGATACTATAGTGTTTTTTGATAAGGGAGAGGGGAGGATAGTCTTTGTACAGGTGGGTGTGTAGGGTGGAGTTTGAGGTTAGGGTGAGAATATTGGGTTTGTTGGGAGGCATTGAATGGTGTGTCAAACTTTGAGTGTATCTTTTACAAAATTAAGAGGGTTGAGTGTATTGGTGTTCCGATTAATTGAAATAATCGAAGATTGGTTGCAGTGACCAAACGACCAAGCAATTGATAACATTTTCTCATAATCGAACATAAACGATTTTGGAACTACTGTTATAGTCTTTGAAATACTTGACAATGGAACATATCTTAGAAGTTGACAGGGCCTAAACACATGTTTATTCTTAGAAAACTCACTCCACTAACTGAAAAGTCATGACTGAATATTTCTCTAAGACTCCAGGAAGTTTATGTTCATGATATATTAGTCATCACTTTAAAGTAGCAAATTGCAACATGTTATACTTTTCTGCAGTAACAACCTGGATAGGAAAATCTGAAAAATTACGCTAACCAATTTTTTTTCGATGATTGTTCGTTGGTATTGAAGCGATCACCAATTGTGAGATTTCAACCAATTCCCAACACAAGTTGAGGGTATGTCATGAGCATGTAAGGTGTGTTGGGTGAGAGGTTTGAATGTGTGGGGTGAGAGTGTAGAGTATGGGGGGTTAGAGGGTAGGGTATTTGGGCTGGGGATGGCATTGTGGTGGGTGTCGGGAAAGAAGTGTGTGGGACAGCAAAGGAATGTCACAAAGATTTATTTTTGGCCAAATTAGTGAATAATAATTCTAGTGGTGTTCCTATACCTCTTTATGAGACTTCAGTCTTTGTTTGAATTCAGTTACAGCACACAATGTCCTCTTTCTAGTTTTGCTTAATATGCTTAACGTTGCTAAATTATGTCTCAAGATTGATGGAGGACCTGGCTTTACCTGAGAGATGATTGAACAGGTCGTCAACATCAACATTATGTATTGATTATTGAGAACATCTCCCCATCTGAACATTAGAGCGTCCGCCCGGAGAGCAGAAGGTCGCGGGTTTGATCCCCGACCGCGTCATACCAAAAGACGTTAAAATATGGTACTTGTTGGTCCCTGCCTGGCGCTTGGCATTATGGGTACAACAAGGACTGGTCGGCTCGGAGTCAGTATACTGTGTCTGAGTGGGGTATTCATGCTTCACTGCGGTATGGTATCTCAGTGAGCTAGCACTATAAAACCAACTGAAGTCTGGGCTAGTACAAGCAGCCGCACATACACATACACACGCATGCACGTCATCATATGAGCGAAATATTCTCTAGCAGGACGTTAAACCCAATTTCACCTCACCTCCCAATCTGAACACTAATCTACTGCACAGTTGCCTCCCTTTGTTTGAAGGGTTTGCTGATCACGGATTTGGACCTCAAATGATCTCTGTTGCTTCAGAACCACACTTTCACCAAATTTAATTTCTATGACCTGCACTTTTCTGCCAGTACTCAAAGGAATTAGGGATCAAATGATTCTTTCAAATTGTTGTAGTTATGAGACATGACCAAGTAAATGGAGTGATATATTGCGGAATAGGCAATGAAGGTTAATTAAAGTAGCATGGAGGAGTTGGTGGGAATTAACTTCTTTTAGGAAGTATATTCAGCACTTTGGCAGAAATATAAGATATATTTTTCATGACAGTGTTAAACTCAACACACCTATCTTGTGGACCTGTGAAGTAATTGAAGAATTAAACCGCCTTTGTTCAGAGAGATTATTATACTGGTATAATAGAGTAACTTTTTACTACAAACATAGGGTTAAAAGTCATGGAACAAACTCATGGCATATGGATGTATACTGTGTCTGGATGGCCTGACAATATTTCAAGTAAAACAAGACTGTAATTATGATGTAACACATTTATATTTGGGATTACACTTTCTCAGTAAAGCACAGATTCTATTACTTTTGTTGGGTTTAGTCCGATCGGGGATTCGAACCCACACCCTCAGAGTCAGGTCAGTGGAAGCTGTGGTGGGTTAGATTGTTGTGTGCAAGCGATTAGGTGCCTGACTCTGAGGGTGTGGGTTCGAATCCCACATGGGACTCCACCTAATAAAAAGTACTAGAATCTGCACTTTACTGAGAAAGTGTAATCCCAAATATAACGTGTTATATTTGACCACCTTCTAAATGGGGCGGTGGGGTAGCCTAATGGTTAACTCGTTCCCTCGTCACACCGAAGGCCCCTGTTCGATTCCCTACATGGGTATAATGTGTGAAGCCCATTTCTGGTGTCCCCCGCCGTGATGTTGCTGGAATATTGCTAAAAGCGGCGTAAAAACTAAACTCACTCACTCACTAACTCGACTTCTAAATGGCATTGTATATTCATGCAATTATGATGTTAGGTTTCTAAAGTTTCAGTCTCCGACTATGTACACCTGTCATGATCGTACCATGGATGTGAAGCTGTGCTTCAACAATACCATTCTAATTTTACCACCGATAACCCCTCTATACAGAAACAGCACATCATGGATTTTTAGTCATAACAAAAGTATCGTAAAGAAATTTGTGCAGTAAACTTCATAGGTAGCAACTGGATATATGTAGCAGTTTGGGCCCTTTGCTCTTTAACTGCATTGTATGTAAACTTAACAGAAATAACCCTGTGTAGATCCCAGTAAGATTTGATCTTCAGTAAGCCATGCTTGTCGTAAGAGGCGACTAACGAGATTGAGTGGTCAGGTTTGCAGACATCGTTGACACATCGTGTCCCAATTGCGTAGATTGATACTCATGTTGTTGATCACTGGATTGTCAGGCCCAGACTCAATTATTTACAAACTGTAGCTATATAGCTATATAGCTAGAATATTGCTGTGTAACTCTCTCATTTAACAGAAATAAGACCGAGCCAGACCACCAAATCCATTTAGGTTTGATCTCATACGATTTATGTGAGGGGTATGTTGTAACCATTCTAACCACCTCTTGGGTCTGTATTTTATAGTGAGAGGTGTCTGCTCTAACATTCATTCTTGTTATTTAAATCTCTGCTTCATCTGATGCTCCAATCTATAGAATTGGTTGGTTAGGTATCATTGTTGAATATATGAAATAAACTTGTTTTGTAATCTATTCGTTAATTTGTATTTCTTGCTTTACCCATAACCAGTCAACATTCAGTAAACTCAAAGAAGATATGTATCCAAGGCAGTGTTTGTATGGTTCAGAAGTTGTGGTGGCCTTTGCCAACTGCTGAAGATGATCAACCTTTAAACAAAATACTAAACACGTAACATTAAAAATAGAAATATTTAATACAAAAAATATTTACAGGAATATGTGGTATTAACATGATTGTCGTAAACAGGAGGTGAAAATACAATATTCATCATAGTTGTTTTAAGCAACTGTTGTCTTTTATTTGTTATAAATGTAAAGTTTATTTCACATGTAATGGTAAGCTTTTAATGAGTCTTATTGGATTCAAGCGTTCATGGTACATGTATTAAATACTATTATACATAATCTCTTGTTATCCTGAATAACTATTTGAAACTTTACCAGGCATGGTGTAAGTAGCTCTAAAATCTTTCTAATTCCCAAATGAATCCTTAAGTACTGCTGGGGGTCAGTGGGGTAGCCTAGTGGTTAAAGCGTTCACTCATAAGACCGAAATCCTGGTTTTGATTCCCCACATGGTGTCCTCCCATTTGTGAGAACTCCCAGTTGTGAGACACATTAATTAATGGTTCAGTGCACACAGGTGGTGCTTCCCCATCCCTACGATGAAAGTGGGAACAGCCCTGTTGCTGAAGAGTACCCGCAGGAGGCATAGTTCATTAATGAGTTAATTAACACAGAAGACATGGTTCGTTAAAGAGCATTTATTGTTTTCAACAGATACTGAAAAAGATTATCGTGAACTGGGGATATATATGCTCCTTGTTGAAGGCCTGCCATAATGGTGATCGGAAAGAGCAGTCAAAGGTTAATAAATACATTTGGATTAATTATAGTGACAACAGTTATTGCTAGATTTTTCAAACACGTAAATCTGAATAGGTAAATTAATTTCTCTTTCAAATGATCACGAAGTTACCTACACAAAGTGTTTATTTTTTAAAGCCGTTTATCTGAGTAGGTTAATTACTTTATCTTTTAGAGTTTTATGAAGTTACCTCCACAAGATTCAGTCAAATAGCTAATCCATAATTAGCTGGGGTTAATCCATTCTATCAGATAGGGGAGTAAGGTGTGTTTTCTTTGCTAATTACCTACTCCACTGTCTCACAACTGGGAGTCTCACAAATGGGAGTAGACCCCCCACATGGGTACAATGTGTGAGCTCATTAAATACTGCTGCAGTTCCACAGGCCTCACAAATAGAATGCCCAAGGAAAAAAATGGTTTTGAAAGTTTGAAATAAGCAAGAGTTACTGGATGTAGTTTGTTCAACACTCCAAGATCCCAAGACTTTGATAGTCTAATATATCTTTAAGCTTCCAATTATTAAGTTCACAAATTTACAATTTCTTATAAGTATACTTAAAAAAAGACTACTTGGATCAATTCTTACAAGTTGCCTGAAATATCACATGTTCATTTATGTTCTCATTGTTCTACAGTTTGGGCCAAGTTCAGTTATCATGAGACCACATCTTATCCTTGCTGATCTATCTTCAGTGTTAATTGTGATCTAATACCAAATGATTTTATCAAATGATGGGTTTTTTCTGGACATATACCCAATGTAGTGAGAGTGAATATGTTTCTACGCCGCTTTTAGCGATACTCCAGCAACATCACGATGGGGACATGCAAAATGGGCTTTACACATTGTACCCATGTAGGGTATCGAACCAGGGTCTTTGGCGTGACAAGTGAACGCTTTAACCAGTAGGCTACCCCATCGCCCCATTACCCATTATAATATAAAGCTGGGTCCCGTTCCTCAAAGCGATCGTAGCGCTACGACAGTCGTAAGTCTATGTTAAAGTATGGCAGTTACGATCACCTTGGCGTTACGATCGCTTTCAGGAACAGGGCACAAGATGTGACATTTCCCATTGAGCATGCACTGGCTTCACATGGATGAGATGAGAGCGATGCCAAGCAGTCTTCGATGTTCAGTTGAAGGTCAGATCAAACACTTTCTGGTCAGAAGTACTCTGGAATGACAAAGAATTACAGTTCATTATTTTCTGCCAGTACCCATAACATAAAGAAACAAGGCAGAACATGCATATTTCAATGTCTGAAAGTGTTGATGGGACATACTGCATAGTGCATTGTCATCGTGTACAGGTTTTGCAGAATGGATCTTTCAAATTTAAGCAAATTTTGATAAGTACATATGTATTTTCATACTTGGTGGCACAGCTTTCTCTGTAGCTCACCTAAATGTGTGAGTGAGTGAGTTTAGTTTTGCACCGCACTCAGCAATATACCAGCTATATGGGGGCGATCTGTAAATAATCGAGTCTGGATCATATAATCCAGTGATCAACAGCATGAGCATCGATCTACGGAATTGGGATACGATGACAGTGTCAACCAAGTCAGCGAGCATGACCACCTTATCCCGTTAGTCGCCCCTTAGGACAAGCATGGATTACTGAAGATCAATTCTAACCCAGATCTTCAGGGGTCCTAAATGTCAGAAACTACAAAAGTTAATTGAGCTATAAAACGGCATGTTTATAACTCTGGCATCACTTACAGGAACTATTCCTGGTTGTCCTACGATGACAGCATCCAGTCCTCGGTAGCCCTTGTCCTTGAGAACAGTTGCTGCAAACATGATGTAAATATACATTAATGAATGGTGAGATATACACTTCACAATGCAAAAGACGTTACATTAACTATATTCCTAAAAAGTCTGTTCTTTAACCTTTTTTGAGTGGTATACATTACAAAAAGTATCTGTGATCATATGCTTAACTATATGATTTTGATATCTGAAGATCAACATTCAAAACGTTTATTTATCTTTCTTTTTTTTAAATTAGAATGTAGCAGGTTTTAAGTGTTCCAAAATAGCCCATAGTAGCTTCTTTAGATTCATTTAAAATTGGAATGAAACTTTTTATGCACAAACACTACGGTCATATTTGTCATCGTATCCCAGTTGCGGAGATTGATGCTAATGCTGTTGATCACTGGATTGTCTGGTTCAGACTATTAACAGACCGCGGTCATATGGCTGGAATATTGCTCAGAACCCTGTAGAACAACAGACTTAAGTTTGTTTCGAAATCGGAGCCAGATCAACCAGCCCTCATATTTGTAATTGCTTGGCATTTAAGGTTCGAGTGGTTGCCACAACACTTTGACAGAAAAAGAGATTTCCAACTTCTTAAGGCTACCAAAAGAATGGATTGAGGGCCTTTCAATCAATAGTGAGTGAGTTTAGTTTTACGCTGCTTTTAGCAATATTCCAGCTATATCACGGCGGGGGGAAACCATAAATGGTTTCAATCAATAATGTTTAAAGGTCCGGACAGGGGTTATTTTTATGAACCAAATGATGGTTTTTTGGGGGGGGTTTTTGGTGTTTTTTTGGTGTTTTTTGTTTTTTTGTTGGGGTTGTCAACATTATAGTGAAGGGGATTATGTACATCTTTTATGAAAGTCTTTGGCTTTTGTGAAAACGGCAGTTCGAGAACCTTTAAAGCTGATCCTTAAACATTACAAAAATGACGGAAGTTGGACGCATGAAACGCTTTAAGTGGGTCTCCTGCCAGGTATGTACATGAACTGGTAGCTTCCTCCATGTTATAGTGGGCACCCAGCAGGTAGCGGAACGGCTCCTCGTGTATGTGTCTCGCTTCAGTGCTGGTAGTGAGTTCTTCCATCTGGAGGTTGTATATCCGAATCTGGGAACGGAATCATCGAATAAAATCACTGAATATGTCAATTCAGAATTATGTTCAGTTTAATATCAGGGGCTGTATCCCAGCTGTATGACCATCCTGAGATGTGACATTTTTATTAACTTTTTTTACTGTTACGGCTGATCCTAAATTGACATGAAATAATAATGGCCTTGATTGTTAGCGCTATGAGCATACCTAGTGTGGAGTTTGGCGCTATATAAATGGACACATTATGGACACATTATTAAATGAAAACTGTTAATCTGATAAGCACACAAGGGGCTTGTGAAGGACGATAGCTTGCAATAGGTTTAATTAAACACAATATACTAAGATTGCACTCATGGCAAATTATGTGGATAGCATTTGGAAAAACACATCTAGTTCAAAATGTTATCGTTTTTATGTGTTTGAACCTATCTACTGACCAGAATATATTCACACAAAGAATACATATTAATGTATGGGCGTAATAGCAGTACTATTTCCATCATAGTCTGCAAAAAAATGATTTCAGTGAAAATATTATTAAAAATTCATCAGTATTGGTAGGACAGCACAGATTCCCATGGAGGGAAGCATGATAGACCCATTATATGTCCACCTTAAGGTCGAGGTTTTAGTGGCACAGAGAAGAATCTCTAATATGAAACATACATTGTTATGTATCAGATGAGGTGAAATTGGGTTTTACGTCGTGCTTGAGAATATTTCGCTCAATATGACGACGTACATGCGTGTGTATGTGTATGTGCGGCTGCTTGCACTAGCCCAGACTTAAGCTGGTTTTATAGTGCTAGCCCACGGATATACCATACCGCAGTGAAGCATGAATACCCCACTCAGACACATTATACTGACTCCGAGCCGACCAATCCTTGTTGTACCCATTAATGCCGAGCGCCAGGCAGGGACCAACAAGTACCATATTTTAACGTCTTTTGGTATGACGCGGTCGGGGATCGAATCCGCGACCTTCCGCTCTCCGGGCGGACGCTCTAACCACTACACCACGGAGGCGGTCTTTATGTATCAGAGGGGCAGTAGGGTAGCCTAGTGGTTAAGGCGTTTACTCGTCACGTCTAGGACCCAGGATCGATTCCCCATATGGGCACAATGTGTGAAGCCCATTTCTGATGTCCCCCGCTGTGATATTGCTGGAATATTGCTAAAAGCGGCGTAAAACTAAACTCACTCACTCACTTTAATGTATCAAAGAAGGAGCCCCGAGCTGCCGATATGTCTGTCAAATAAGCCTTGAAACTGTTCCTTTTGTTTACTATACTTTGAGTACCTACCTCATCAATCTCCCCCTTCAGATAGGTAGAGCCATCATAACCAATGTACAGGGTCGTATTCCCATCCTGGTAAGAGAGAGAGTTATTGACAAGTGTTTCATGCATATAAACAGCCAAAATACATAAGATTATACCAATGACGAATTAAACATAGAGGATATTTGTCTTTTCTTGTACAATAGACGTTTCACTCACTCACTCTGACGATAGGAAACCTATTTGAAACCTATTTTAAAATCCACTCTGTCACTGGGATTATTCTTCAGATAAACTAAAACTAGTTCTGGTGATGTTAAATGTTAAAATGTTCATTTTATCTTTTGAGATAAATATGATATTCCATATATGTTTTATTTATTAATAGTGGTGAAGTCTGTTATGATATTCATGGTACTCACCCACACAAGCCCTGGTTCCACTGATGTGAGTTGGGCATCTGTGGTAGTTTTGGGTCCATTCACGATCAGATCCAGCTCCCTCACTGAAACACATAGAAGTTGTTGTGGTTGGTTGACTGACATCTACATCATTGATATAACACATTGATAAACACATTGTTAAAAGTCTAGTTTTACGTGATGCAGATCCTGCCATCAGTCCCTCACGATCTCTTCCTCACTCAGTCATTCTTTCACACACTTATTCACTCACTCGCACACTTCTTCACTCACTCACTCACACTCCTTCACTCGCACTTATTCACTCACTCACTCCTTCACTCACAAAGATTCTCCTTCACTCAGTCACTCACACTCCTTCACACACTCACACTCCATCACTCGCTTACTCCTTCACTCACAAAGATTCTCCTTCACTCACTCACTCACACTTCTTCACTCACTCACTCCTTCACTCACTCATACACTCCTTCACTCACTCATACACTCCTTCAATCACAAAGATTCTCCTTCACTCAGTCACTCACACTCCTTCACTCGCACACTTCTTCACTCACTCACTCACACTCCTTCACTCACTCACTCACACTCCTTCACTCGCACACTTCACTCACTCACTCCTTCACTCACTCACCCTCCTTCACTTACTCATACACTCCTTCACTCACAAAGATTCTCCTTCACTCAGTCACTCACACTTCTTCACTCACTCACTCACTGCACACTTCTTCACTCACTCACTCACACTCCTTCACTCGCACACTTCTTCACTCTCACTCCTTCACTCACTCACACTCCTTCACTCGCACACTTCTTCACTCACTCACTCCCTCCTTAACTCACTCACACCCTCCTTCACTCACTCATACACTCCTTCACTCACAAAGATTCTCCTTCACTCACTCACTCCTTCACTCGCACACTTCTTCACTCACTCACACTCCTTCACTCGCACACTTCTTCACTCGCACACTCACACTCCTTCACTCGCACACTTCTTCACTCACTCACTCCCTCACTCACAAAGAATCACATTCACTCAGTCACACTTCTTCACTCACTCACACTCCTTCACTCGCACACTTCTTCACTCACTCACTCACGCTCCTTCACTCACACTCCTTCACTCGCACGCTTCTTCACTCTCACTCTTTCACTCACAAAGATTCTCCTTCACTCAGTCACTCACACTCCTCCACTCGCACGCTTCTTCACTCACTCACTCCTTCACTCGCACACTTCTTCACTCACAAAGAATCACATTCACTCAGTCACACTGATTTATTCACTCCTTCACTCGCACACTTCTTCACTCACTCACTCCTTCACTCACTCACACTCCTTCACTCGCACACTTATTCACTCACTCACTCCTTCACTCACTCACACTCCTTCACTCGCACACTTCTTCACTCACTCACTCCTTCACTCACATAGATTCTCCACTCACACTGATTTACTCACTCCTTCACTCACTCACTCCTTCACTCACTCACACTCCTTCACTCGCACACTTCTTCACTCGCACACTTCTTCACTCACTCACTCCTTCACTCACTCTCACTACTCACACTCCTTCACTCACTCACTCACTCCTTCACTCACTCACGCTCCTTCACTCACTCCTTCACTCACAAAGAATCACATTCACTCAGTCACACCGATTCACTCACTCTCTTTCACTCACTCTCTTCTTCACTCACTCCCTCAGTCACTCCACTCCCCCAGTCACTCCCTCACACACTTCTTCATTCACTCACTCAACGCTCTGGAACTCACACATTCCACCCCTCACACATTCCCTCACTCAGTCACACAGTCATATACTCCCTCCCTCACCCATACACCCCATCAAACCCTCACTCTGATCTTCGACCCGTGAAGATCCGGGGTAGAATAGGTCTTCATCAACCCATGTGCTTGCCATAAAAGGCGACTATGCTTGTCGTAAGAGGCGACTAACGGGATCGGATGGTCAGGCTCGCTGACTTGGTTGACACATATCATCGGTTCCCAATTGCGCAGATCGATGCTCATGCTGTTGATCACTGGATTGAAAGGTCCAGACTCGATTATTTACAGACCGCCGCCATACAGCTGGGATATTGCTGAGTGTGGCGTAAAACTAAACTCACTCACTCACTCACTCTGATCTTCAGAATGAACCTACACTGAGCATTGTACTTGAGGGCGACATGGGTCCAGGTGTCCGCGGGGATGGTGGTGGCGCCAGTGATGACGGTGTCCATCACTTGACCCCGCAGGACATTGGCCTTCACATACAGGCACAACAGGCTGTTGTTGGTACACAGGATCGGATGTTTGGTGGCGTCGTAGCCCGCCGGCAGCTTGATCAGCGCCTCGATCGTGAAACTAGGAAACAAAACACTTGTTCTGCTGAATCAGCTTGTTCATGGAAAGAGATGTTATGTTCGGTGACGTGGCGTACTGAGGATGTCATCGCATCCTGGCATTCATCATAATACCAGTCACTGGATTGTCCTGTCAGTTGGTTGGCTTGTTGTTTAACGCCGCACTCAGCAATAGTCCACCTATATGGCGGCGGTTAGAATTGGTCTTCAACCCATGCTTGTTGTAAGAGGCGACTAAAGAGATTGGGGTGGTCAGGTTCGCTGACTTGGTGACATATTGTCAGTTGTCCCAATTGCGCAGATCGATGCTCATGATTTCCATCACTGGATTGTCTGGTCCAGACTTGCTTATTTACAGACCGCCGTCTTATAGCTGGAAAATTGCTGACTGCGGTGTTAAACAACATACAAACAAGCCATGTCGGTCAGCTATCAGCTAAAACATAGCGTTTGGATTCTTTGCATTAGGCTTTGCACTCAATAGAACATACTATAGGGGATAAGTATTGTTCATGCTGGTTTTCAAGTACGGTTCCCTCACCTCCTCTCCATTCCCAGGTCCTCGAGACGACCCACTTGGACGTAGTCATCCACCCCATCCAGGGACAACGCATAGTTCATTCTGAAGACATGACATGGCATCAAAGTGACCTCAAAGCGTAAGTGTTGATATATATACTCATTACAAAATACAAACAGCAATGGAAACGGATTTGGATTTTTAAAACAACAAATGCGTATCCATTTTCCACGTTAAAAATCAATGAAAATCTTACCTGGTCTTTTCCACAAAGGTCGCACGTGTAATAAAGACGCCATGGCAACATGAAGCATTTTGACTAAATACAAAGGTTTTACTTATAACAGCTTAAACAAATGAAAAGAAGTGTTTGCCACTGGTATGGCAATGTCCCCCGCCGCTAAAGAATGGAATATCTATATTTACTACTTTTTATTTTTGGGTCACTTACAAAATGCCTGAAATGACTGGTGTCTGCATAATCACCCAATGTAGGCTGTCACCAAATTTGAAGACATTGGGAACAACAGTTCATGAGATGTCGCGTTAACATGAGTTTGAAAAGTGGTCAAAGTGTTGTGGTGACCTTGAAAATCAGGTCAAGGTCACCCTAATCGACTGGTGTCTGTGTAATCTACCAATGTAGGCTGTCACTAAATTTGAAGATATTGGATACAACAGTGCATGAGATATCACATTAACAAGAGTTTGATAAGTGTTCAAAGTGTCATGGTGACTTTGAAGATAAGGTCATGGTCACCCAAATCGACTGGTGTCTGTGTAATCCCCCAAAGTAGGCTGTCACCTAGTTTGAAGACATTGGGTACAACAGTTCAAGACATATCGCGTTAACAAGAATCGGGACTGACGGACGGACGCCGCTGAATACATAGTTCCCCGTTCCGCGTTGCGGCGGGGGACAATTATTCTTAATAACATTCAATAAGCGTTAAACAACCCACCTATTCTTACACTGATATTCCAGTTTCGACCAGATCGGGGCTTTCTGGTCAAACACAAACACACCGAGTCTGCCGCCGAGGATGGTGGCGTCATAGACAGGGCCGGAGTCGACCACGACATTGTCCTCCTGCTTGATCTCAACACTGCAACATGGCGGTCGGAACACGTGAAGAGGCAAAATAACCAAAGGAGGCCACAAACTGAAGTCGACTGTACAAATCTTTGCTGCTTTAAGACATACACATATGTCATTAACTGCTTTAAAAACACAATATTTTACTGAAAACTTGAGTCACTGCTTTAAGATATGCGCTGTATCTTTCTATTTTTTTATTTATTTATATTTTTTGCCTATTCAAAGAAATGAAACAGGCTTCTGTCATCTGTCAAGGCATTGAAACAGATTGTTAAGTTCCATCCTGGTACAACTTTTTCATTCACGTCCTTAAGAAGTACAGTGTTTTGGTTAACTGCTTTGAGAGACACAATATTTTCATTGACTTCTTCAAAACATACAATATTGCCATTCTCTGCTCATCCTCGATAATCCCCAGGGTATACGTCACTATAGTGAGAGTTATCGTAACGTATACCCTGGAGATTATCGAGGATGTTCTCTGCTTTGAGGCGGAATAATCACTTCATCATTTTTGGAATTTTAGTGCTTTGTGGCTTAATTTATATTAATTTACCGTCTCAAGAGACAGTTTCCATTCTTTGTTTCAATACATACAACTTTTGAATTTATGACTTCATTTCTTTAAGACATCCGATGTTTTTATTCTTAGGGGATCTTAGGCGCGATTGAATGTTCTATTTCAAAATAGCACTTAATTTTAACTAAGAATATCGTTATATCAGTGTATGTATATATCATCTGTACCTGATTAATCCTATAGATGGCCGGTGTACTATGTGCCATCTGTAGGCCATGTTGCAGTCCCATCCGCGGAGAGCAGGGTCGTGCCAGATGACGCGTGTGGCATCACTAACGTCATCGCCGTGGTACAGGGCGTTAGCCAATGTTAGCCCGACGTCAAAGCCAGCATCCACCAACTACAAGATAAACCAAACAACAACTACAACCTATTGTATATCTGTAGTTCGTATTCTTTGTGAAAGCAGTTACCTTACAACACTTCCGTAATATATTTCAGAGCGCCAGTGTCTTTAAGGATACACGTTGTTTGTTTGTTTGTGACGGCGCTGTTTATTCAAGACGGCGCTGTTTATTCAAGACGGCGCTGTTTATTCAAGACGGCGCTGTTTATTCAAGACGATGCTGTTTATTCAAGACGGCGCTGTTTATTCAAGACGGACGGCGCTGTTTATTCAAGACGGACGCTGTTTCTTCAAGACGGACGGCGCTGTTTATTCAAGACGGACGGCACTGTTTATTCAAGACGGCGCTTTTTATTCAAGACGGCGCTGTTTATTCAAGACGGCACTGTTTCTTCAAGACGGCGGCAAGACGGCGCTGTTTATTCAAGACGGCGCTGTTTATTCAAGACGGCGCTGTTTATTCAAGACAAGACGGCGCTGTTTATTCGAGACAAGACGGCGCTGTTTATTCAAGACGGCGCTGTTTATTCGAGACAAGACGGCGCTGTTTATTCAATACGGCACTGTTTATTCAAGACGGCACTGTTTATTCAAGACGGCGTTTATTCAAGACGGCGCTGTTTATTCAAGACGGCACTGTTTATTCAAGACGGCGCTGTTTATTCAAGACGGCACTGTTTATTCAAGACGGCACTGTTTACTCAAGACGGCACTGTTTATTCAAGACGGCGCTGTTTACTCAAGACGGCGCTCTTCCAGCTTTTGTCATGGATTGTTAAGAGTAGAATCATGACCAGACAAATCAGTGGTAGATATTGTAAACAACACTCCACGGCGATGGGGTACGATCCTAAATACGTAGATCGATACTATGTGAATCACTGGATTATATGGTCAAGATTCGTTTTATAACTGAAGTATTTCGACGTTAGACAGCAAAACAAAACAAAAACATGTGTTTCAATATGTTTCAATCTGAATCATATACGATATATCCAGTTTAATGTCATTGATATATCCCCATGAAGCCTGAACTCAAATACCTCATGTAGAACAATCGGAAGTTAAATTTCAGACTTGCGTTAGAAACCAGTGTTCATTATGGTGATATATCATTATGGTGATATATCATTATGGGGATATATCATTATGGTGATACATCACTATGGTGATACATCAGTAACACGTTAAAACATAAATAGTTACCACAGATACCGCACCTCAGTATCAAACGATGTCATTAAATGATTAATATCAAATATTATTAATATCAAATGATTCAGAATAAAACACTGTAACAGTTTCTCATTCATTTGATCAATATATGCGTCCGTAAAAACAACAAACGTCATCCGATTGTGTCGCATCTATCCATCTTTCATTCCCACACATACTGCGAACATGTCAGCAAAATAATAGAAGTGATGCATTGTAATGTCGAATAATGCAATTATAGGAGGATGCAGGTACGACATGATATCATTTGCTTTTTATCTGTGTTGCAGTGAGATAAAATGTAATCGTGAAATTCTCTAGTTCCCCGAAATCCTCCCCCTACTGGAAGCATAATGTCCTACCCTTATCTGCAGTCCCTTCATACCGCCGTTATAGTCAAAGTTCTTAAAGTTTTGTCTCCAGGTGATGAGGTAGAACTTGCGGGCTGACTGGAAGCCGAAAATGAAGCCGATGAAGCCCTCACAGACGTCGTCCTCCAGAAACGTCGTGCCGTAAAAGTCCATGTGATCTAGTGCTTGGGGGCCTGTGGATATTCAAACTGACTCAAATTTTCACATGACAGTAATGTTTTACAAGAAACTGATGAAGGCGGATTTTCTACAACTTGGCTAGAGGTTAAACATAGTTTATTAATCTAAATCCAGAAATGCATGATTCACTTCAGATCACATTCTTCGAGTGAGTGATTGAGTCTAGTTTTACGCCGCTTTTAGCAATATTCCTGCGGGGGACACCAGGAATGGGCTCCACTCATTGTACCCATGTGGGAAAGGAACCAGGGTCTTCGGCATGACGGGCGAACGCTTTTACCACCAGGCTAGAACATCGCCCAACACTCTTCTAAACAGAATAATATATTTAGAAAGCTTAAGCTGCATTTTACCTGAACTAACATCCGTTAAATGAAGTGTGTTGGGCCTTCTATCTGAAGCGGTATTTTGTAAAAAGACCCGACTATCATGAGTATATATCTTAATGTCAACCTTTGGTGTACGCAGTTGTAAAGACATAATCTTGTTGTCAACATGACACGGAAAAGGGCACGTATCTGGTTATTATCTCTGGGTGGATTGTCACAGCGCCGTCATATAGCAGGAATATTGCTGATTGCTGTGTTAAACCAAAAATAAACAACCTCTGTGACGATATTAAAAATATGATCAGTTCCGCACAAATCGTATCTTGGATTTGTTTAGCGGTAGATAAACTACGACCCGAGTTTAATGAAATTGAAAACTGAATTGCATAGTCTTGGAAAGACTGTCTTCCCGGAAACAGTTGGAACAGGCTCTGGGACAGTGTTGTATAGTATGCAGAGTCGACTGTTTCTGGGATATAAACATTTTCATGCCGGCTACGTATAATGAATTGTCCCACCATACACACCGCACCCTTATACTACCCAAATATACTCAGATACCCGTGTAGATCCGGGTTACGATTGGTCTTCAGTAACCATGCTTGTCGTAAGAGGTGACTAACGGGATCAGGTAGTCAGGCTCCCTGAATTGGTTGAACATGTCACCGTAACCCAATTGCGTAGATCGATGTTCATGCTGTTGATCACTGTCCAGACTCGATTATTTAAAGGCTGCCGCCATATAGCTGGAATATTGTTGAGTGCGGCGTTAAACAACAACCAAACGAAACAATTTGTCCGAAAATGGTAAAACCCTGAACGAGACCAAGGCCAGGTTCAGTTCTGGTTTCATCGACCAACTTACAAGGTATCCCAACACCAACTTGTCTCACCTATCAGAGCAATAGGTCTCCGTGTTGTGGCCTCCTGTCTGACTTCTCTCCCTTGATCTAACACTCTCCAGTCAGGGAGGGCTTCAGTTGACCAGCCTGGGTAAAACTCCACAGTCGTGTAGCCCATGAAGGAGGTGAAGTTGATGAACTTGTTCTCCACGCAGTTGTCCACTCTGTCCATCGTCCCGTCTTGGTCCATGTCGTTCTCACAATCATCTCCACGGTGGTTACCTGCAGAACATCGTGGCAACACGGGTAACGTTTGAGCTTCTACCGCCCATGATTCTTAAGAATACAAACGGGATCGGGTGGAGTGAGTGAGTGAGTTAGTTCTACACCGCTTTAGCAATATTCCAGCAACATCACGGCGGGGGACACCAGAAATGGGCTTCACATATTGTACCCATGTGGGGAATCGAACCCGGGTCTTCGGCGTGACGAGGGAAGGATTTAACCACTGTCGTGTGTGTGTGTGTGTGTGTGTGTGTGACTGAACCACATCACTTAACTATTGAATCATGCCTCTATCATAGTGATGCATGTTTGCCCTCAGAGGAAAACCAAAGTGATGAAGGTTGGGGCTCGTAACCCTTTGGCGAATGTGCTTGTACTTGCCCAGATTTAAGCTGGTTTAATAGTGCTGGCTCACTGAGATACCACGCCGCAGTTAAGCTTGAATACCCCACTCAGACACATCATACCAGTCCTTGTTGTACCCATTAATGCCGAGCACAGGGCAGCGAATAAATAACAAGTACCATATTTTAACGTCTTTTGGTATGACGCGGGCGGCCGGGGATCGAACCCGCAACCTTCCGCTCTCCGGGCGGACGCTCTAACCACTACACCACGAAGGCGGTTCGTCATAACTGAACAGAATGTTTGAGCCTACGGTTTGCGCATCCTGACAGCTAAGGGAAGGCAACTGTCCTTCCCTTGACCACCGGCTACCAAACCAAGTACTAGTATCCTTGTCAATCCAAGACCTTTCCGAAATGGCTACTACGACATAACTATCTAAGGCGACGTCACAGAAGGTTCACCAAAAACGAGATCCATCCTGATACATTTTCCAAAACTGTCGACATTATACCTTCTCTGCCAGGTATCGAGGTATACGTTTAATCTTCGCATCACTTTGAACTTTCTACCCACATGAATCTGACACGTCGGGATATATCAGGTGTATACCAGCGTTAACCCCCATTTTCGATGCAAGGCTAATACACATAACTTACCATCCACATCGTCCTGATTTGTGTTGGGAACGTACATGCAGTTGTCTACAGAGTCAGCAATGCCGTCGTTGTCAGAGTCATCATCACAGTAGTCACCTGCAACAATGAACGTCCACAAAATTTTGAGGTCCCATTCAAGATTGAATGTCGGACATGACATACATATTACACTATGGACTAATCTCCATTTTCTCGGACGTCTCAGATATTCTTACGTTAGAGTGCGACAATCAAACACCAAACATAACAAACCTGTCCCATCCCCATCTGTATCCCTCTGTTCGGAGTTGGCGATGTCAGGGCAGTTGTCCACGTTGTCCTGAATTGAGTCTCCATCCCTAGCAACACGAAATTGCATTATTAAACAGGATGTAATTACAGCATCGGTAGATGCTTTCAACAACTCTGTGTCATTCAAGGAGCGGTGGGGTAGCCGAGTGGTTAAAGCGTTCGCTCGTCACGTCGAAGATCTGGGTTCGATTCCCCACATGGGTACAATGTGTGAAGCCCGCCCGCCGTGATATTGCTGGAATATTGCTAAAAGCAGCGTAAAACTAAACTCACTCACTCACTATGACCCTCAAGAAAAGGTTTCATGACACACAGTACTGTACAATATTAGTTGACATTTCACCAAGGCTGTACACCAATGGGATCTGGGTTACCATGGTCCCAAGAAACCTAATATGGTAGCAAGAGGTGGGCTTTCACATCCCGTAGGGATGGTCGATGTCATCATGGCGGCCAAGTCGTTGCGGCTTGCCCATAATATCAATCACTACAGTTTCTTTCCATTTTATTTATTTACAGGCCTCCTCAAAATATGAGTGAGTTTCAATATAACAATTTGTCGCCTGTACCGTCTTCTTGTCGGAGTCTTGAAACGGGGTTGGCCTCTTTGGTACGTATTGGTGGCTGAGAAAGTTGAAATGTAACGTTGGATCGGCATTATTTCATGACAGAATTATTGGTTACTACGGAGTGAAAATTATTTCAATAATTATTTTACATTCCACAACAATACATTGTACCAGTATATCTATATGCGATTGCTAAAAAACATACCCCTGTCTTAATTCTCGCTGCGAATTGCTGCAAAGTTGCTGATACGGCGTTAAGCAATACTCACTCACTCACTCACCTGTCTCCATTTTCACATGCATCACCGATCCCATTCTGGTTCACATCCTCTTGTCCGGTGTTTGCCACTGTCGGGCAGTTGTCACAGTCGTCCCCCTTGCTGTCTCCGTCAGGGTCGGCCTGACCTGGAACGTGTTTGAATAAGAAGAAACCGTTAAAGGTCACATAAACCCTAGGGGGTACAAATACATAAATCACTAACTGGCATCGTTATAAATGAAACCCCGTCATTAAAACTACTCATTTCGACCTTTAATTGACTTAAATCGACCTTTTTGACAACAGTGCACAATTCTCACCCGCGAACGAAATTTCAACCAATCAGAGCGGCGCGCCTCTGTGACGTCATATGAGGAATAGCTTTGAGAGCCGATGCAGAATTCATCTACATTTTAGGGGGTAAATTATCGTGTTTACAGGCTTGTATAAACCTGAAATCGTGACAATTGTTGTGGAAAATGAAAGCTATATGTTCTCACAATCTACTGTCATTTAATTTTGTCTCCTGCTTTGCCTAGTTTCCGAGTTACAACTTGTTTTCATAGACGATTCTGTCAAAATCGATTGGTGTCGTTAGGCCCTATTTGTATAATGACTGATCCAAATTGATCCCATTTCTGTGTTGTTTTACCTCGATATTTAATCATGTCATGTAAAAATCTGTTTGTATTCTCAAAACAGTGTCGGCCCATAAGTTTTCACATGCAATACAGCAATTAATACTCCCTCGTTGTAACCCGTGTTAGGTGGTATAAACCTACACATGTTATTTGTCATCATTCACTTGATGGTCAGTTAATGAATTTATAACAGGTATAATTAGTGGTAACACCACTTAGATTACCCGACAAAGGTTCCCATTTGGCATTTCTTGTGTCTGGAGTAAATATTCAACATTATAAACATCGATCAAAGGATTAACCGATAACACGCTGATTGATTAATTACTTTTATCTTACACAGCGGAATTGTCAAAAGGTAGTGTTTATGTATGTAGATTTACTAATCTATACTGAATACACTCTGTCGTGTCGGTGTCTGCGTAAAAACAACGTCCTTCTTTCAAAGGATTAACCGGCAATACATTGATTGATTGCCCATTATTGGCTAACTAAATTACTGTTTTTAAAGAAAGGCGGACATTATGCAATAAGTTGCCAGATGTGCTATCTTGGGTGACCAATGAGACTATACACCAATACCTGAAAAGATTTATCACTTTTTCGTATATTAAACTGTTAAAAGACACATAATTTGGAACAGTTTTGTGGATATTGATGGATAAATTCCTCGAACAAGGTAATGGCCTGATATTGTTCCTATAACTTTAATCTGTTTTAATTTTAATATTTGCATTTTGTTTTTATTCATTTGTCGTAGCATTCAACAGAATCATTGTTTTCTCCGTGAAGTGTAATGAGACAGACAACATGCACTAGGGTGTGTGTGCGAATTATGATTCACATTGGCAAACTATAAAATGTCTAGATATTACAGTTCTGTTATAAATTCACTATAAGTATCAGCAGATCGTCTGCTTTTTATTTAGTTTCAAAATGCATACAAGTTTGATAATAAACTAATGAGGATTATAAGACCAAATATAAAGACGCACATTGACTAGTATCTACATACTGGTGAGTGGACATTAACCATTGGAATGTAGCAAGAAATTTATCGCGCAGTATTGTCACTTCGACCCCCACCTCGCTTCCGTGGAAGAAATCGTTATGTTATAAGTTGTGTCATGCAAAATCCGTTTGGTTATGATTCCAATACATATTTAACAACGAGTAGAAAGTAGTCTTGATTTTCTAACTTCATGTAAACAAACTATAATCTCCTTAATTCTAACAGATTTTTTTATTTTTAAAAATGGCGGCGCCCTGTCGGGAACATCCGCCAGTCTGAGGATAAATGCTATTTAGGTTTGTTTTTCACCGAGTTACAAAATCAAAACTACTTTCTACTGGTAGTAAAATATGTATTTTATTGATGGCCAATAGGATTTTGCATGACATAGCGTATAACATGACAATTTCTCTCCTGGCAGCGAGGTGGGTGTCAATATAATACTACTTACAGTATTATTGTTACTTCGACCACAACCTCACTTCCGAGGAAGAAATCGTTATGTTACAAGTTGTGTCATAGAAAATCTTTATGGTCATCAATCATATGCATATTTTACTACAACTAGTAAGTAGTTTTGATTCTTTAACTTCCGTGAAGCGATCTGAACACAAGTAGGATATCTTTTCAGGCTTCCACAACGCTCGCTTCGCACTCACAAACATAACCCATTTCGCACGAACTGCGGGGTCCTGTGGAAATCTGTGCATGGGGACACCATCGCCCGACCCCTAGGAGCAATTGACGACAAAGCAACGATTCGGCATGTCGTCGTTGATGTCGAGAAATCATCAAAATGATGAGCGTGCTACACATTTTCTATACAACTAACTGAAAATCGTTCCTCATATGACGTCACTGCAGTGCTCTGGCGACAGAGTTACGTAACCTGTCTGTGGTTTCGTTGGCGGGCGAGAGGGAAGCAGGCGACTTTTTGGCCACTTTTAATCGCTCGGTATTAATTAACCACAAGTTTTTAAAGAATAAATTTGGTGTTCCGCATAAGACTAACCACAAATCTTTCATATGTAATGGTTAAAAGAGTAACAAAAAACAAAGTTTAGTGGTTCTTTAAGCATTATCCAGCAATATCACCATTCGTAACTATTCTCCTCTTTCCGTAACCTGCCGGAATGACACGAGTAGTTACGAATGCAATATCACGACACATTCGTGACCAACTTGTGCTGTTCCGGGACGCGTCTTCTTGCTGGTCCCGGAAAGAGGTGATCTCGAGTTGTGACGAATGCATCACGTCGAAGGCACGCATGGGACATGATTCATGTGAGGTGTGGCGTAGTGGATACAGCGCGAAGGTCGATTGCTCGAACCTGAGCCGCGTCATGCGAACAGACGTTTGAAAATGACACCTATTGTAACTCCTCCTGGTGTTTGGCATCAAAGAATGCACCCCCCATGAAGACCCGCGTTAGAATTGGTTTTCAGCAACCCATGTTTGTCGTAAGAGGCGACTAATGGGATCACGTGGTGAGACACGTCATCGTATCCCGTTTGCGTAGACCGATGCTGTTGATCACTGCATTGTCTGGTCTACGCTCGATTATTGACTGATTATTGTGCACTTTTGACTCGCGATATATTTCGATTTATATACTTTTGAGAACATTGACGCCACAGACTTTATGTATACAAGGGTGATGGGGTAGCCTTGTGGTTAAAGCGTTCGCTCGTCACGTCGAAGACCCGGGTTCGATTCCCCACATGGGTACAATGTGTGAAGCCCATTTCTGGTGTCCCCCGCCGAGGTTTTGCTGGAATATTGCTAAAAGCGGCGTAAAACCAAACTCACTCCATTATGTAGACAATATTTTACTGTATAGTTGAATCTGTTCATAGGCATGATACACCTGCAAGGAACCGAGGAACCGTCACCGCCAACAGACAAACAATTACATTCGTTTTAAAACTGAAAAAAAATATGTTTACGCTTTTCTTCGAACACCTGGTGTCACTGAATTTCAGTGGTCAGTTCATATATTTTTCAAAGCTATGTTGCTTTTCACGCCCAAAGGAATCTGTTTGGGAATGCTACTGATTATCCGATGGCGCTTTGTCCACGTCACTAGACGGAGAATCTTAGCGTCCAGTGTTAAAGTTCTTTTTGTGATTTGTTTCTGATCATCATGTAAACGTTACAAGAGACAAATAGTTAAACATTCCTCACAAGTTGTCGTTCGCTTAAACTCACCTGGGTTAGCGACATAGGGGCAGTTGTCAATGGCGTCAGATAGGCCATCGCCGTCAGAGTCCGCTTGACAGACGTCGCCCTGACCGTCTCCATCGGCGTCGGCCTGGTCAGCGTTCATGTTGTTAGGGCAGTTGTCACATGCATCACCGATGCCGTCTCCGTCAACGTCCTCTTGTTTGTTGTTGAACACCATCGGGCAGTTGTCCTGGTAAAAAGGTGGAGTTGCGGAATATATGTTGTTACCCTTCACCAATAATCCAAATACATCACCGAGACCATTAAATAATCGGATTCGGGCCAAGCCTATATGTGACCGAAATCGTGAGTGAGGATACGCGACGCTGAACAGAGTGACACCCAATCACCAAAACAACCAAATCGGACCACCCAGTCCTCTTTGGCCGGTAGTTCTTACGATCAGCTGACGTTTCCAGTATTTTTCACAATATTTGCATTTTTTTAGACATAATATTTATTCAGTCGATGTTTAAAACATGCTAACATGAACATACATAAAAAAGGCAGCAAACAAACATTTCTTACACAATTTCCTTACAACACATTCATTTCAGAATATTTCCAGAATATCGATTGGTTGCCCCTGTGCTGTAGTTCTATACTACTCACCGCAAGATCGAAGACGGTGTCGTTGTCGTCATCATCGTCGCAGGAGTCCCCCCTCGTGTCCCCATCATTGTCCTCCTGCCCGCTGTTTGGGATGTCTGGGCAGTTGTCCTGCAGATCAAGCGGATGTAGGTTTGGGTTTTTTAGTTATATGCAATGTAAGCATTAACATTAGCAAAACATGGTCACATAACACAGTGGCTACGGCAACCGTGACCGGATTTTTAGTTTTATGCAATATAAGTATGCACTAAGTTTAATTAGCAAAACATGGTCACATAACACAGTGGCTACGGTAACCCCGACCGGATTTTTTAGTTTTACCCAGTAAGGCTGCACCGTGACCGGATTTTTAGTTTTATGCAATATAAGTATGCACTAAGTTTAATTAGCAAAACATGGTCACATAACACAGTGGCTACGGTAACCCCGACCGGATTTTTAGTTTTATGCAATATAAGTATGCACTAACATTAGCAAAACATGGTCACATAACACAGTGGCTACGGTAACCGTGACCGGATTTTTAGTTTTATGCAATATAAGTATGCACTAAGTTTAATTAGCAAAACATGGTCACATAACACAGTGGCTACGGTAACCCCGACCGGATTTTTAGTTTTATGCAATATAAGCATGCACTAACTATGGTCACATAACACAGTGGCTACGGTAAGACCGGATTTTTAGTTATATGCAATAAACATGGTCACATAACACATAACAGTGGCTACGGTAACCGTGACCGGATTTTTAGTTTTATGCAATATAAGTATGCACTAAGTTTAATTAGCAAAACATGGTCACATAACACAGTGGCTACGGTAACCCCGACCGGATTTTTAGTTATATGCAATATAAGTATGCACTAACTAGCAAAACATGGTACATAACAGTGGCTACGGTAACATGGTTATATGCAATATAACACTAAGTTTAATTATGCATGGTCACATAACACAGTGGCTACGACCGGATTTTTAGTTATTAATATTATGCAATATACAGTCACATAACACAGTGCACGGTAACGGATTTTTAGTTTTATGCAATAAACATGGTAACTTTAATTAGCAAAACATGGTCACATAACACAGTGGCTACGGTAACCCCGACCGGATTTTTAGTTTTATGCAATATAAGTATGCACTAACATTAATTAGCAAAACATGGTCACATAACACAGTGGCTACGGTAACCCCGACCGGATTTTTAGTTTTATGCAATATAAGTATGCACTAACATTAATTAGCAAAACATGGTCACATAACACAGTGGCTACGGTAACCGTGACCGGATTTTTAGTTTTATGCAATATAAGTATGCACTAACATTAATTAGCAAAACATGGTCACATAACACAGTGGCTACGGTAACCCCGACCGGATTTGTAGTTTTATGCAATATAAGTATGCACTAACTTTAATTAGCAAAATATGGTCACATAACACAGTGGCTACGGTAACCGCGACCGGATTTGTAGTTTTATGCAATATAAGCATGCACTAACTTTAATTAGCAAAATATGGTCACATAACACAGTGGCTACGGTAACCCCGACCGGATTTTTAGTTATATGCAATATAAGCATGCACTAACATTAGCAAAACATGGTCACATAACACAGTGGCTACGGCAACCGAATCCCCGTGCTTCTTCGTATTTTGTGGCTACATAGAGCTACAGATCCAACAGTGATTCTTAATAGATTCCCAAACCAAATGTGGATATGCTTTATATTCCTCAGGAAAATGTATGATTCACTTTCCAGAGCACTTGTCTTGAAATATGTAACTATATTTTCGACTATGCGCTTTTGTATGTACTTACCGCAGTTAGTAACAAAGCAGGAGGTATTTTGGTTGGTATTGTAATAACACTATTTAGTTTTGTATCAATTCATTAATATGCATGAATAATGGCAAGACTTTATCGTTATGTAAGTTTGCATTACAAAGAGTTAGTCTACTTAAACTACATCTGAGGTAGGTACGTGAGCCTCGTAGGTCCGTGGGGGTGGTGGGGTAGTCTAGTGGTTAAAGCGTTGGCTCGTCACGCCGAAGACCCGGGTTCGATTCCCCACATGGGTACAATGAGTGAAGCCCATTTCTGGTGTCCCCCGCCGTGATATTGCTGGAATATTGCTAAAAGCGGCGTAAAACCAAACTCAGTCAGTCAGTCGTAGGTCCGTGTGTATCCCGCCGTTGTAATGCTTGAAATATTGTGTAGCTTAAGTAGTGAGTGAGTTTAGTTTTACGCCGCTTTAGCAATATTCCAGCAATATCACGTCGGGGGACACCAGAAATGGGCTTCACACATTGTACCCATGTGGGGATCGAACCCGGGTCTTCGGCGTGACGAGCGAACGCTTTAACCACTAGGCTACCCCGCCGCCCCTGTGTAGCTTAAGTAACCTAACCCATACATTCAAATAGGATTCCCAGGTGTATGATAAACAAGAAAGCGTTGTTCACCGGTCGCTTCGAATCTCATGAGATGTGTAGCAGGAAGAGGGCACATATCGTTACTTCAAATGTAAGGCGATGTGTATCTACTGCACTGACCTGTTTACAGTTTCCAAACTCCTCCCCGTTACAGGATATGCCTTCCGCCGGGTAGCCGTCAAGGTCAGGGTCAGGTCCACAGGTGAACCCGTTCCCAGCAAGGCCGTTGTTGCACTGTGGTAAAGAGGTGTAGTTGAATAAAACATCAACACGGTTGAAATAAGCATGGACCATTCAATACCGTACTGGAGAATAACATAGATATTGCTGGATATTTTCCAATGATTACCAAGTATCCTCGACCGCCTCCGTGGTGTAGTGGTTAGAGCGTCCGCCCGGAGAGCGGAAGGTCGTGGGTTCGATCCCCGACCGCGCCATACCAAAAGACGTTAAAATATGGTACTTGTTGGTCCCTGCCTGGCGCTCGGCATTAATGGGTACAACAAGGACTGGTCGGCTCGGAGACAGTATAATGTGTCTGAGTGGGGTATTCATGCTTCACTGCGGCATGGTATCTCAGTGGGCTAGCACTATAAAACCAGCTTCAGTCTGGGCTAGTACAAGCAGCCGCACATACACATACACACGCATGCACGTCGTCATATGAGCGAAATATTCTCAAGCACGACGTAAAACCCAATTTCACCTCACCTCACCTCAAATGCGTTATCTCTTAAACGTACTCAAGCGTATAAAACTAGGTAAGTACGCAAATGTCATTCCGTAAAATGCTTAGACGCCGTTGGATAGGAAATGCAGATCTCGTCACTTTGGGTATCTGGTAAAAACAGGTAGAGGTAATGTACTTGCACGTTCTCGCATCTATCCATGCGTACTCGTATGCAATCACACTAACGTACTCACGAGTACTCATGCGTATTTACCTGTGCCTACACGTACTTAAACGTTCTCATATGTACAGTCCGGTAAATAGTAGTCTTGGGAGTCGGAGTAAGCACAGATACGCACACGTAGTCAAATATACTTGTGCGAAATCATAAGTACTCACATGTATTCGCACGCACATACTCACATGTAGTCGGAGGCAGTCACACGTACTCACACGTACTAACACGTACTCACCAGACAGCTGTAGTCCCCCGGGCCGGCGTAGACACAGGTGGCGTTGATGTTACATTCATGTTTACCTGATAGACAGAAGTCCGCTAGCTCACACCCGTACTTAGCGCTGCCAATGTACCCATCTTTACACAGACCGCAGTTGAAACTGCCCTAGAACCGAAATATTCACGGGCTTTAATCGGATGTATACTCCTACCCTCAAAATCAATATATAGGTGCGAGGAACAGCTAGACTTTCTGTCCCGTCGCATTTCTCCCCAGCAACTGAAAAACACTTCGTATTTTTTTATTTATCTAGACACGAATTACATACGAATCAAAGTTAATTTTATAAATTTAATGATATATCAAAATTACGCAGAGGCAATCGAATGAATTACGCACAAAAACTATTCACTATTAACTCCGAGAGGTAAACTGAAGAAAGGCAAAACTTTGGTAAAATTGACATTTTTTTTTTCTAAATCAATGTTGCATTATTACAAATACTCAAATATCTTTCATATGTTCCGGTTATGTCTTTTGAAAGAACCTTGTGTGTGAGTGACAGAGTGAGTGCGGGTTTACGCCGCATTAAGCAATATTCCAGCAATATCACAGCTGGTGTCACCGGAAATGGGCTTCATATATTGCACCCATGTGGGGAATAGAACCCGGGTCTATGGCTTGACGAGCGAACGCTTTAACTACTAGGCTACCCCACTGCCACTTTGTTTGTAAAAACATATTTTTTCGTAATTTCTATATTCGAGTCACCCACCACGGTGTTATGACAGTAGCCATTTTGGTCACACCCTCCGTTGTTGGTGAGGCATTCGTCTGTGTCTTCGCAGTGCTGGATAGGGGAAGGGTCATGCTTTTGGTTGCAGTCGATGAAGTTCCGGCGGGTCACGTTGTAGGCCAGGGCGTCCTCGAACGATCCTGTGTAGCCTGGAGGACATCTTCGGCACTGGTAGCCTGGCTCTGTGTTCTTACACGACGACGAATTCCAGCATGGAGAGTAATCGACACACTGAAAGCAATGGTGCCATATTATACCAAACTCCTCCTTCGTGAACATGAATTTACAGATGGGTTATAGTTTGTTGGTGCTCTGGGGCAAAGATAGGCGAGTAGACTAATGCGCCACTATTGTGTACATAATTGCGTGCCATAGTCGTGTCACAAGCCAATGATCGTGGGTTTGAGTCCATAATGTCTTCCGACTACGTTTCTACAGGTGCGCGGGTGTTTCACGAATAAAGTAAATGTCGAAGGACTTCATCAGTTCGTAACGTTCACCCACAACCCTTGCCAACGGAACAGCAATGGGTGTCTGCACTTTGTCCCGATAGCAGGGTCTAGTTACCCTTCTTTGCACAATATGATGGATCGCCACTAAACCCACCCCACTCCACACCATAGCCGATCCACGGCTTGATCTGTCTTGAGGTTTCACGTTGATGTCAACCTCGCCAGAAACGACCACGCGGAAAGTGCAACATGAATTGGCATTCATCTGAAACGTTACTTGTCCATCGTCAACCATTTTGGTTAGTCGGTACTTGTTCCACAGCCTGATAATCACAGACATTGAAGCACGTTTTCCATTTGACGCTCATTTCTGCCATTTTCCAGTATGCCAATAGCTCGTAGACGCACCTCACGTTACAGACGCTGCAAAGGTCTCTACACAAGCATAACATGATAAGCAGAATCAGTCGACAGAAAGAGTGAGTGAGTTCAGTCAATATTCCAGCTGTATGGCCGCGGTCTGTAAATAATCGAGTCTGGACCAGACAATCCAGTGATCAACAGCGCATGAGCATCGATCTACGGAATTGGGATACGATGACAGTGTCAACCAAGTCAGCGAGCCTGATCACCCGATCCCGTTAGTCGCCTCTTACGACAAGCATAGGTTACTGAAGATCAATTCTAACAGATCTTCACGGGTCCCACAGAAACAGATGTCAAAAAAGATAAAATACATTTCTTTCGAAGTATTAAAATTAGAAATGGCACGAAGCTGGGTGGAGCTTGTGTGGCGCGTAAGGTTTGGTTGTTGTTTTACGCCGCACAGAAGTAAACGCTCATGGTTAGGATGTTTGGCGTCAACAATTTATTTATAGATATATGTCATGCTTCCCCTTTCAATAGTATATATTTTCAAAACTGAAGATGAAATAAACTGCACCCACCTCGTCGATGTCAGTACAGGTGACGCCATCCCCGTTATAGCCATGTGGACAAGGATCGCACACGTGGCCGTAACTCCCGTCGGGGTTCTGGGCATTCCTGCACGTGACTCCATGGAAACAAAGTCCCGTGCTGCTAATGCACGGGCACTGGGTGCTGTCGGAACACGCCTCACAGTCAGTCCCATCCCCCTTGGACCAGGACCGGGGGTTGCACGGCTCACACCGGTCCTTCATTGTAGTGCTGCGGAACCCATTCGGGCAGGGCAAGCAAGAGGTCTGTCCTGACTGATCCTGGTAGGTGCCAGGTCGGCACAGCTCGCAGAATTCTACAGGAAAAAAGATAGATAAGATACAAAAGTGTCCTGTGTGAATATCTGAGGTGAACCCTGAGCGAACATTGACTGATTAGGATGCTTGGTAAAAAATCATGGCGCTCAGAAACGACAGAATGCAGAAATGTATCACAGTGCGGTTTTTCTTTTTTGCATTCGGAACTCACCGCGTTCGACAGTCAGAAATCAGATATGTTGGTCTGGTGTCCCCTGCCGTGATACTGCTGGAATATTGCTAAAAGCGGCGTAAAACCGAACTCACTCACTACTCGTAGCCTTGAGGCTAATTGGATGATTACAAATTTCACCTTAAGCAACCAACCATGCAGGTGTTCTCAGATTTTCATGCTGACAGGTATCGTATCCCAGTGAAAATACCTGTGAAGATCCGGGTTAGAATTGATCTTCAGTAACCCATGCTTGTCGTAAGAGGCGACTAACGGGATCGGGTGGTCAGGCTGGCTGACTTGGTTGACACATGTCATCGCATCCCAATTGCGTGGATTGATGCTCATGCTGTTGATCACTGGATTGTCTGGTCCAGATTATATACAGACCGCCGCCATATAGCTGGGATACTACTAAGTGTGCCGTAAAACTAAACTCACTCACTTAGTGAAAATATTTTCTTCAAATAAAGACAAATTGCAACAACTGTATATTTCTACGATGATTGGGTAGTTTAGTTTTAGAGAGTCAGTTGTTTAAAGTTTTAGAATTTACCTTTGTTTCCATCTGACCACGTGCCGACCTCGCAGTAGTACCTCTGTCCGCCCCGACAGGCATACCCTGACTCACACTGGGTGCATGTGTCCGGACAGTAGGAGTCATTGCAGTACGTCACGTAGTGGAACTCCTCGCAGGGTTCTGCGTAGCCATTTTTACAGATCTGAAGCATAAAATAGATGTGTTTGATACATCGCCAAAACTTCTGACAGGATCATTACAATGGATCAAAGGAAGTCTCGTTGGTTTGTTTCTCGATATATGGTCATCTACACAAAAACACAAACTATTTTAATGATCCACGAGGACGAACAGAAATATATACGAAAGTATATGGAAATAGATATATACTAATATTATATTTTTATTGGATATTTACGAATGTCATTATTCGTGTTTCATTATTTTAGTTTCTTTGATTGAATCGTTATCTGGATGGTAGTCGACAATGGGTTCTGAAACAGCATTCAAAATTGGTCCGCTGTCAGTCAGCCTCCTCCTCAGTTCTCCAAACTACTTATGGTTGTACATGAGTACATACATACATTGAGTGAGTGAGTTTAGTTTTACGCCGCTTTTAGCAATATTCCAGCAATATCACGGCGGGTGACACCAGAAATGGGTTTCACACATTGTACCCATGTGGGGAATCGAACCCGGGTCTTCAGCGTGTCGACTGCACGCTTTAACCGCAAGGCTACCCCACCGCCATACATACATTGAACATTCATATCAAGACAACAGTTGATGCAACTGTTCTGTTTGATTTCTTCCAATTTGAGTTAGCACTAAGGTGGAGAAGAGCTTCAGTTCTAAAGAGTGAGTGAGTTTGGTTTTACGCCGCTTTTAGCAATATTCCAGTAATATCAAGGCGGGGGACACCAGAAATAGGCTTCACACATTGTACCCATGTGGGGAATCGAACCCGGGTCTTCGCCTGACGAACGAACGCTTTAACCACTAGCCTACCCCGCCGCTCCTCTATCTACAGAGAGTTTACAGTGTGGGTATTGTTTACAATGATATATCTGCGAGGCAAGTACACTTACCCAACCCAGCGGGCAGGACGTGCACTCCGACGCTAAACCAAAACTGTGCTCTGTCGGGGAGCGGCCACAGGTGGAATTGGACATTGGGGGGTCACAACGTCCACACGGCAGCATGTGTCCGTCCCCCGGGCAGTACCACGTGGTCTCACACCTCTCACAAGATGTCTGATCTAAAAAGAAACAAACATACAGACGTAATACAAAGCGAGAGTTTCATTGTTGTTTGGTTGAGAAGCGAAAATTGCATACAATGGGCTGACACTGATAATGACATGTAACATATGGAGTGAGTATGGTTTTACGCCGCTTTTAGCATAATTCCAGCAATATCACGGCTGGGTTTCACACACTGTACCAACATGTGAAACAGAACCGGACCTTCAGTGTGACCAGCGAACACCTACACCGCCGCGCCTCAATACCTGCATTCTGAATAGGAAGACCGAATAATATTGCTATGTTAATATGACAACAGTATGTACTTGTGTATGTGATGTGATCTGAAAACTGTTACTGTACTTACATTTGATCGAAAAAATATACATGTACTACTTTTAGGCGTAGGTCTCTTAAAGGTTTTAAATGACTATATTTAGCTAACAACATTACAGTACAATTTTTTGTGTAGACAGCATTTTCTGGTACAGACAGGTAAAAGAGATATGATATTTTGTACATTTGACATGGCGGTAAGATAAATACGTTGTTTGCTTCTCCCTCGGGTAATAAGGTCTGATGTACGCCTCAGTATATACTCATAGTATATACACACGGAAATATCAACAGCCAGTCGTCAACTGCTTTCCATGGTTTTCAGTAGTGGTTTGAACAGTGATGTAGAGTTTTAGATGAGGTCGTGTTGATTGTTGAGGAAGATTGTTCCAGAGGTGCGAGCACCCAGTGCTTTTAACGTTCACTATACTTGCACAAGTCCCCACAGAAAATTTGATTATAAGTTAAAATCATTCCAAGACCATATAAGTAATAGAATACGATATCCATGTGAATGATTGATGTCGTTGTACTGACGGTGTATAGTGGTTAAAGCGTTGGCTCGTCACGCCGAAGGTCCGGGTTCGATTCCCCACATGGGTACAATGTGTGAAGCCCCTTTCTGGTGTCAGACGCCGTGATATTACTGATATACATGTATTGCCAAAAGCGGCGTAAAACTAGACTTATTCACTCACTGACGATTTATCTAGGCTTGCCGAGTATACTCTTAGAATTACTATGCATCCTCTGAGAGGGTACGTAAGTCCCAAAATGTTCAAAGTCAATTTAAACTTGCCAGGATTTTTAAACGTAGCATTCTTGTCATTTTAATTTTGGCTAACATTTCTTACAATCGCCAGCAGCTGAAGGGATGGTGTAAATCCAACTAGGGTCCATGCAGGTAGCCAAGGTACTGTAAGTCCCCATGGTCCCTGGTATGGTGATCTACCTTCTGGTGTTGGCGATCTATAGCCCGTGTTTATTTTGTACTGTCTATAGTGATTTAATTTTACGATAGCGTACTAGTTTTAAATTTATATAGCTGTGATATTCTAGTATTTTTACTGTCCTTCGATGACAGGTTTTTACGTTATACATTCACTGATTTGAATATTGATATAAACTATTCTCGTCACGATATGGCTGCAATATTGCCGATGTGACGTTAAATTTTAACTCACTCACTCACTATGCATCCATGGACTTATCATTCAGTACAGTCTTGGAGCAAGGCTAAACTTACAATGCAGTTCCTCCCGCTGTGAACAGCCAATCAGCTCGAACCTGAGACTGACGTGCCCCACCCACGTCTGGGGGTTAATACGGATATACTTCCCACGGGCTGGGGGCTCCAGGCTCACATCCACAACAGTGGTCTGGTCAACTGCCCCATTGAACACCTGCAACGTGGGAGAAATGCTATACCATTAAAACATTATTTATCTAAATGTATTAGAATTGTTTAAGATCTGGGTTAGAACTGACCATGATTGTCGTAAGATACGATTGAAATACAATGTCGTGTGGTCAGGTTCGATACATGTCATCGTGCCTGTATCGCGTACATTGATGCTACTGATCACAGGATTGTCTCGTCCAGACTAGCAACAAATAACTGTGCGCAGCCTTTTAGTAATATCCAACCCATGTCACTGTGCTGATTACCGAAAGTTTACAATATTATACTGATTATGTGGGGATTAGAACGTTATTGCCGAGCGAGCGAACTCTTCAACCTCTAAATTACCCATCCCGAGTTACCCGTACAGAACAAAATATTCTTTTCATATAGTTTTAAGAAAACAACGTTATGATCTCAAGCAAACTTGACAACAAAAGTTTGTTTGGGTTTTTTGTTTTGTTTTATTTGTTCCCATGGTAACAAAGTCAACATCAAAGGTATACAGCACCAACAAACACAAGAAAGGTTAAGATACATTGCTTTAAAGATGTGATGATAATTAGTTGCAGAATATTGGGATGATTGAATTCCATTCAAGATTGCATTTTTCAATTTTATTGTTTCTCTTTGAAATACTTTTTCTACAGAAAATATCTCTTCTAATACCCTTTTATAATTAATGAAACAAACGTTGACAACGACTAATGACTTACATCAAGGCCGGACCCGTCGGTATATTTACTGAAGGTGATGCCGTCATCGCTGACGTACACGGAGAAGGTTGGGACGTAGTTGACATCGTCTTCCCTGCCCTGAATCTGTATGACGCGGATCACATAGAGTTCCTCTAACTGCGTCTGTATCCACTGGTTTGAGTCATCAACGGCAGCCACCCATCCGCCAGTCAACCCGCCAAGCTCCGCTACCGACAAAGATTATTCACATCACTGTAAAGTTAATATATTTTGACCCGTGAAGGTCCGGGCTTGAATTGGTCTTCAGTAACCAATGTTTGTCGTAAGAGGCGACTAACGAGATCGGGTGGTCAGCCACGGTGACTTGGTTGGCACATGTCATCGTATCCCAATGGCGTGGATCGATGCTCATGCTGTTGATCACTGGATTGTCTGATTGACTGAGTGCGGCGTAAAACTATACTCACTCACTCACTAACTAATATATTTTGTCTGTTTTTTATCATTTTCAAATCCGCACCCAGCAATATTCAGCGGCGTGTAAACGATCAAGACAATTCCGTGAATAATGTTATGAGTAACGATCTTCGTCCTCGACGTAAGATGACACGAAACTTTTGTTTCTACCCCGAAATCCTGATATTGTATAAAGTTTATTTTATCACTGAAGCAAATATATTGAGTTCGGATCAACTACACCAGCAACGTTAACGCCGTCGAGGTACACACATCGTCGTCATCACACAATTTCACAGTCAAATCCTCATTCATGTGTCTTTCGTATTCAACATGGTGCTGGTGACTTAAACTGTCCCAGAATCCGAATGGGCTATAGTATTCTATACTGTGTATTGTGTAATGCCCCTTTAAACTTTGCAGTAAATTGACAACATGTCAGCTTGTTGTGTTATGTCATCATGACTCTAACCTTTCAGATATAATGAACCTCGATTAACCTTTCAGAAATGATGGAACTGTGGCTCTAACCTTTCATTCTACTCCAATTTTAATTTTCTGAAATAATATATAGAGATTTATATAGCGCCAATATCCAGATGAGTCCTGCTCAAAGGCGCTTTCGTATGAGTCTGACAAGGAAAGAGTCACTCGGAACTGTAACATGATTTGAAAAAGAATGTTTTCAACATTCCCTTAAATGCACAGATCTTCTCTGCACTTTTAATGCCCAATGGGATGTTGTTCCAAAGCATAGGACCTGCTTTTGAGAAACATCTGTCTCCAAATGTCTTTGTCCTCGTACGTGGCACAACTAGTAACTGGGCACTACTAGACCGTAGGGAACGGGAGGGTGGATGGCACTGGATCAGTTCGTTGATGTATGATGGGCCAATACGGTGAAAAGCTTTGTATACAAGCACAAGAATCTTAAAGTCTATCCGTTTGACTATTGGGAGCCAATGCAGATGCATCAGAACTGGAGTTATGTGCTCATATTTAAATCTTTCAGAAATAATTACCCCTATGGCTTAAACCATTCTGAAATCATGGAATCTTGATTTCACAAATACCAATCCAATGACTCTAACCTTCCAGATATGGTGGAACCATGGCTTTAACCATCAGATATGATGGAACCATGACCTTATCCTTTCAGAAACCTAGTGCAGTCTGACATCTATATATACACTTAGACTCCCAATTGCGCAGACCGATGCTCATGCTGTTGATCACTGGATTTTCTGGTCCAGACTCGATTATTTACAGACCACCGCCATATAGCTTGAATATTGCTGAGTGCGGCGTAAAACTAAACTCACTCACTAAGACAACTTACATGCAAAGGCAAATGTAGAAACATTCCTGAGCACAAAATCAACACATACAAGAATATTCGATTGATCACAAAGCTGTATACAGGAGCTATACTTCATGTTTCTGTATGAGACCGCCTCCGTGGTGTAGTGGTTAGAGCGTCCGCCCGGAGAGCGGAAGGTCGCGGGTTCGATCCCCGACCGCGTCATACCAAAAGACGTTCAAATATGGTACTTGTTGGTCCCTGCCTGGCGCTCGGCATTAATGGGTACAACAAGGACTGGTCGGCTCGGAGTCAGTATAATGTGTCTGAGTGGGGTATTCATGCTTCACTGCGGCATGGTATCTCAGTGGGCTAGCACTATAAAACCAGCTTAAGTCTGGGCTAGTACAAGCAGCCGCACATACACATACACACGCATGCACGTCGTCATATGAGCGAAATATTCTCAAGCACGACGTTAAACCCAATTTCACATCACCTCAACTTGGTAATCACTATTCAAGACACTGTTTAACACCGATTAGACAATAACACTGAGTTACCTGAAAGTGACGTCATGTTGAGACGGGCCCTCTCTGGTCCACTCTCTGGCTGAGCTGATGAAGCAGTGAGAAACTCATCCCGAATAAACGCCTTCTGTATCCCAGCAACCCGCAGACATTCTACAACACATCAAACATGTTATAGAGAAAGGTCAGATACTATATGGTGAGTTTCTATTCGTGTAAGCGAAAACTGGAAGACATGTTGTTAAAACAATTGTCTATTTAATAGTGGTGATCCGATTAATTGAAATAATCGAAGATTGGTCGCAGTGACTAAACGACAAAGCAATCGATCACGTTTTCTCATAATCGAACACAAACAATTCTGGAACACTTGTTTTCATCAACGATATTTTTCACAAGGTTGGTTTTGTCTGTTACATTTCATAAACATTACAAGCTCGTTCCAAGTCATGATTGAATTTATCTTAAAGACACCAAGAATTTTATGTTCCTAACATACTAGTCATCCTTTAGAGATGTTAAATTTTGCCCAAACCCCTCAAAATAACTACATATTTTTTTTTTTAATTTGTGCATTAACAAATTTTATAAATAACGCTAACCAATTATTTTCGATGATTGATCGGTGGTAATGAACCAATCATCAATTATGAGATTTTAACCAATTCCCAACACTACTATTTAAAGGTCACATAAACCCTAGGGGTAAAAATACATAAATCACTAACTGGCATCGTTATAAATGAAACCCCGTCATTAAAACTACTCATTTCGACCTTTAATTGACTTAAATCGACCTTTTTGACAACAGTGCACAATTCTCACCCGCGAACGAAATTTCAACCAATCAGAGCGGCGCGACTCTGTGACGTCATATGAGGAATAGCTTTGAGGGCCGATGCAGAATTCATCTACATTTTAGGGGGTAAATTATCTTGTTTACAGGCTTGTATAAACCTGAAATCGTGACAGGTGTTGTGGAAAATGAAAGCTATATGTTCTCACAATCTACTGGCATTTAATTTTGTCTCCTGCTTTGCCTAGTTTCCGAGTTACAACTTGTTTTCATAGACGCTTCTGTCACAATTGATTGGTGTCGTTAGGCCCTATTTGTATAATGACTGATCGAAATTGATCCCATTTCTGTGTTTTTTTACCTCGATATTTAATCATGTCATGTAAAAATCTGTTTGTATTCTCAAAACAGTGTCGGCCCATAAGTTTTCACATGCAATACAGCAATTAATACTCCCTTGTTGTAACCCGTGTTAGGTGGTATAAACCTACACATGTTATTTGTCATCATTCACTTGATGGTCAGTTAATGAATTTATAACAGGTATAATTAGTGGTAACACACTTAGATTACCCGACAAAGGTTCCCATTTGGCATTTCTTGTGTCTGGAGTAAAATATTCAACATTATAAACATCGATCAAAGGATTAACCGATAACACGCTGATTGATTAATTACTTTTATCTTACACAGCGGAATTGTCAAAGGTAGTGTTTATGTATGTAGATTTACTAATCTATACTGAATACACTCTGCCGTGTCGGTGTCTGCGTAAAAACAACGTCCTTCTTTCAAAGGATTAACCGGCAATACATTGATTGATTGCCCATTATTGGCTAACTAAATTACTGTTTTTAATGAAAGGCGGACATTATGCAATTAGTTGCCAGGTGTGCTATCTTGGGTGACCAATGAGACTATACACCAATACCTGAAAAGATTTATCACTTTTTCGTATATTAAACTGTTAAAAGACACATCATTTGGAACAGTTTTGTGGATATTGATGGATACATTCCTCAAACAAGGTAATGGCCTGATATTGTTCCTATAACTTTAATCTGTTTTAATTTTAATATTTGCATTTTGTTTTTTATTCATTTGTCGTAGCATTCAACAGAATCATTGTTTTCGCCATGAAGTGTAATGAGACAGACAACATACACTAGAGTGTGTGTGCGAATTATGATTCACATTGGCAAACTATAAAATGTCTAGATATTACAGTTCTGTTATAAATTCACTATAAGTATCAGCAGATCGTCAGATTTTTATTTAGTTTCAAAATGCATAAAAGTATGATAATAAACTAATTAGGATTATAAGACCAAATATAAAGACACACATTGACTAGTATCTACATACTGGTGAGTGGACATTAACCATGTGAATGTAGCAAGAAATTTATCGCGCAGTATTGTGACTTCGACCCCCACCTCGCTTTCGTGGAAGAAATCGTTATGTTATAAGTTGTGTCATGCAAAATGCTTTTGGTTTATGATTCCAATACATATTTAACTACGAGTAGAAAGTAGTCTTGATTTTCAACTTAGATGAAAACAAACTATAATCTCATTAATTCTAACAGACTTTACGATTTTCAAAATGGCGGCGCCCTGTCCCGAACATCCGCCAGTCTGTGGATAAATGCTATTTAGGTTTGTTTTCACCGAGTTACAAAATCAAAACTACTTTCTACTGGTAGTGAAATATGTATTTTATTGATGGCCAATAGGATTTTGCATGACATAACAGCATATAACATAACAATTTCTCTCCTGGCAGCGAGGTGGGTGTCAATATAATACTACTTACAATATTATTGTTACTTCGACCACAACCTCACTTCCGAGGAAGTAATCGTTATGTTACAAGTTGTGTTATGGAAAATCTTTATGGTCATCAATCATATACATATTTTACTATAACTAGTAAGTAGTTTTGATTCTTTAACTTCCGTGAAGCGATCTGAACACAAGTAAGATATCGTTTCAGGCTTCCACAACGCTCGCTTCGCACTCACAAACATAACCCATTTAGCACGAACTGCGGGGTCCTGTGGAAATCTGTGCATGGTGACACCATCATCCGACCCCTAGGAGCAATTGACGACAAAGCAACGATTCGGCATGTCGTCGTTCATGTCGAGAAATCATCAAAATGATGAGCGTGCTACACACTTTCTATACAACTAACTGAAAATCGTTCCTCATATGACGTCACTGCAGTGCTCTGGCGACAGAGTTACGTAACCTGTCTGTGGTTTCGTTGTCGGGCGAGAGGGAAGCAGGCGACTTTTGGCCACTTTTAATCGCTCGGTATTAATTAACCACAAGTTTTAAAGAATAAATTTGGTGTTCCGCATAAGACTAACCACAAATCTTTCATATGTAATGGTTAAAAGAGTAACAAAAACAAAGTTTAGTGGTTCTTTAACCATCACTTACACGGTTTGTAATAAGTAATCCCTGGAGTGATTTTGAGTAAACGGTAATCAACAAAGACAGTTGTAAGAACAACAAAACCCCTTCCATGTTCGAAATGTTTTAAATGTGTGCCAAAACGGAAACTAACATCGTGATTCATGCCAGTTTTGTTCAACGTTCAAGGTATATTATAAAACATAAAAACAAATTCACATATAAGTGCTCTGCCCTAACTCTCACACACCAACATATGCCACAAAAACATTATTTGTTGGTATTATACGATGAAAGTTTTATTGAATTCACAATTGCAGCTGTCGTGCTATATGCAGCTCAATAAATAGATAGTTTGCTGGATAAAACTGGAATAAACCACTCAGCACCTTCCATTATTCGCTTCTTACAAGATCAGTTATGGCCATATTCACGGGTCAAATAGACGCGGATCTTCGCAATCCCGTCACCAACTCACCAAACTCATAATGGTAGTACCCTGGCACCACAAACGTAATGTCCCCTGTTATTTCGTCGAGTGGAAAATCAAAGACGATTGGTTCATATTCCACAGACACCAGACAGGAATTGTCCAACACCATCGTGACGGTGCCTTTAGCACCACGGCGGGGTACGCCCTCGTCAACGACGAACACCTCAAAACTGAGGGTTGTGTTCTTCGTGTAAACAGACTTGTGAAGATCTTCCGTCTCGTTAAAAGACACTGGGGGACTGCAAATATGAATAATACTCAGGCAACCATATTACAGCCATATAAGACATATTTATATATTAATATCAGTAACAATACTCTGGAACCGAAAGTGAGTTCAGTTTTACGCCGCTTTTAGCAATATTCCAGCAATATCACGGTGGGGATACCAGAAATTGGCTTCACGCATTGCACCCACGTGGGGAATCGAACCCGGGTCTTCGGCGTGACGAGCAAACGCTTTAACCACAAGGCTACCCCACCTCCCCCTGGACAGTTGGACAATGAAATTACTTATATTGTGAGCAAACGTCCCCATCGTTTGGCGTACATGTCACGCAATCGACCGAGACTGACCACCTGATGCATTCTGTCGCAGAGAGGCTCGCCATTGTTAACTGAAAGGTTTCTGACGTTACTTTACGTTACGTTACGTTACTTTACGTTTCTTACGTTACTTTACGTTACGTTACGCAACATAAATATACTATTTATTTAGTGTATATTCCACTGACAGTATTATCAGTACAACAAAAATAAAGTTTATCTTGAAATAGATTACAAACTCACGTTGCCGTGACATCTGATCGGTAGTATCTGAGTACGGAGTTGTTCCCGGAGTCGATGTCTGCGGCGTTTAGATCCACAATGGGGACTGCTTGGAGAGCAGGATTGGCCCAGATGGAAAACGTACTTTGGTCAAGCTCTGGGCAGTTGTCGTTCACGTCTGTGATATGGATCTGAAACATGGTACTGTGATTGACGACACAAATACATAACGGTTATTGTACGCCTTAAAAATGAATACCTAACAGGAATGAATGGGTGGTTTCCATTCCCAGATTCGGTTTGTCTACACCAAAGTAAATAATATTAGTGATATCCCTATTCATTCATATTCGACATGCTATTAACTCGGGATGATCGTCAACATTTTCAATAGTATATAACCCAGTTACAGTAACAAGTCGGCGATTAACGCATCCTAAGAAATACCTGTTATCTTCATCACATAGTCCCGAGGGGAAAGGTTCGAATAGGCACTCTGTTGGTTGGTCAAAAGAGGCGACAAAACTGTATCGATCGGCTCTGCGTATTTTTTCTCATTGGGTGTACAACGCTACCGTATACCGACGACGTGGGTTTACAACGCTACCGTATACCTTCGGCGTGGGTGTACAACGCTACTGTATACCGTCGGCGTGGGTGTACAATGCTACCGCATACCGACGGCGTGGGTGTACAACGCTACTGTATACCGACGACGTGGGTGTACAACGCTACCGCATACCGACGGCGTGGGTGTACAACGCTACCGCATACCGACGGCGTGGGTGTACAACGCTACCGCATACCGACGGCGTGGGTGTACAACGCTACCGCATACCGACGGCGTGGGTGTACAACGCTACCGTATACCGACGGCGTGGGTCTACAACGTACCGTAAACTGACGGTGTGGGTGTACAACGATACGGTATACCGACGGCGTGGATGTACATATACCGACTACGTGGGTGTACAACGCTACGTACAGAGACAGCGTGGGTGTACAACGCTACCGTATACCGACGGCGTGGGTCTACAACGTACCGTAAACTGACGGTGTGGGTGTACAACGAAACGGTATACCGACGGCGTGGGTGTACAACGCTACCGTATACCGACTACGTGGGTGTACAACGCTACCGTACAGAGACAGCGTGGGTGTACAACGCTACCGTATACGGACGGCGTGAGTGTACAACGCTACCGTATACCTACAGCGTGGGTGTACAACGCTACCGTATACCGTCGGCGTGGGTGTACAACGCTACCGTATACCGACGACGTAGGTGCGCGGTGGGTGAGCTTGCTAAGGCGCCAGGCTAGTGATACAGCGAGGTTGAGGTGCCGGTATCGAGCTCACTTGTGACCGGGTGTAAAACCTTGGAGTCAACTTTGTGTGCACTCTCTTTCAGTGTTGTCACAACCCCTAGTGTACAGTACACAACCCTGTACACTTAAAAGAACCCACGAACCCGTTGGTATATGACCAGATGGTGGCCACATGAATACGTGCAAACACCAAGTTGCGGGTACAGCAACGTGCAGTGAACATGGACAAAGTACTGTGACTATGTGTCCCAGTCCACCCAGCTGTAAATGGGTACCTCGTTAGGATGAGAAAGCCACACTAACTCGGTGCGCCTAGTGGCAGCAAGAGTTGTATACTCCCCAGGGAGTTGAGATTGATAATACGATCTGCTGTTAAGATTGACATTCAATGATCGAAGGGAAAAATAACAGCACCTTGAGCTTGCACTAGTTGGGGGGGATACGTACGCTATATAAATATCCTATTATAATAAATAACAACACCGAAAGGTCGAATCTATTACAATAAAGATGTTGCTTTCCGTAAAAGATTGTTCATCTTCATGACGATATTTATTGCTATTGAATTTCTACTTAGTACACTCTTATTAGTACCGTCATTGTAATACTATTGTAGTGGTTTGTAAACTTTGTTACTTTTAGGATATATGTGCCAATAACATCACATTTCTATGTTGTTTTTTGGTTTCGCACGTTTGACATATTGTATCAACTTGAGGGTCAATATGTAACACTGGATTGTCCAGTCCAGAGTCGACGATTTACAACTCGATGTTAGGTGAGGTGAGGTGAAATTGGGTTTTACGTCGTGCTTGAGAATATTTCGCTCATAATAAGGAATAATAAGGAATTATGACGACGTGCATACGTGTGTATGTGTGGCTGCTTGTACTAGCCCAGACCTAAGCTGGTTTTATAGTGCTAGCCCACTGAGATACCATGCGCAGTGAAGCATGAATACCCCACTCAGACACATTATACTGACTCCGAGCCGACCAGTCCTTTTTGTACCCATTAATGCCGAGCGCCAGGCAGGGACGACCAAGTACCATATTTTAACGTCTTTTGGTATGACGCGGTCGGGGATCGAACCCGCGACCTTCCGCTGTCCGGGCGGACGCTCTAACCACTACACCATGGAGGCGGTCTTTTCTTTTAAGCATATCCTGCTATGTAAAATATAAAAAAAATGGCCATTTAAATGAAGTGTCATAAATATGGAGCTGGAACAGTGTTGTCGAGTTCGGCGTTAAGCAACAGCCTTATATACTAATATCCAGACGGACTTGACCAGGACGTACTTTTATTCCAATGGTTCCAGTTTGTTCCAGGGGACTTGTTGTAATCTACAATTTCCAACGCTACACTGTACAGGTCGGTCAGTTCGAAGTCCACTGATTTAGCTAAGGTGAACAGTCCCGTGGCAGTCGTCACGTCGAACGTCTCCACGCTGTTGTCGCTTGTGTCCGCCGGAATGGAGGACGGAGTTGCACATTCTGAAATGATAGACACACATCCTTTGTGACACTCGATTTTTTAAAACCAAGTGTCTTACCGCTCTTTTACAATCAATCAGTAAGTTGATATCTAACGTTGCATTGACAATGCTTGGGTCAAAGAGCCATCCCACTTTACTAAACATTGTAAGCAAGTGAGTTCAGTTTAACGTCTTTTACACAGTATTTCAGTTATATCACGACTTGTCAGATTGATCTGGAGATAAACTCAACACAGATCGTGTATGCTTGGTGGAACCAGGTACACACCATAAATAAAGGTTAATCCGACACCCACAATACCCTTCCACTTTCAATACCTTTCAATTCCGTACCCCAAACACCCATAGACACAACACTCCTACACCTACATTACCCTTACACCAACCCCCGCGCCAAATACGCCATTATCATTACCCCATACACCCAGTACACCAACACTCCTACACCTACATTACCCTTACACCAACCCCCGCGCCAAATACGCCATTATCATTACCCCATACACCCATACACACAACACTCCTACACCTACATTACCCTTACACCAACCTCCGCGCCAAATACGCCATTATCATTACCCCATACACCCATACACACAACACTCCTACACCTACATTACCCTTACACCAACCCCCGCGCCAAATACGCCATTATCATTATTCCATACACCCAGTACACCAACACCAAATACACCAGCACCTGGTGCCCTCATTATCATGGCACCATGCAGCCAATTATTGAGTATACGATGACTCACCTACAAATGAGATGTTAGCAATCGTGGTGTAGGTCAAGGTCGCCGCCACTGGAGGAGTACCAGCAGCCTGATTGGCCGCTGTGTCTGACTTGATTGAAAAATGACGTGCCTCGTTACCTGCAATCAGAGACAATGATACTGAGCAAACCAAACACAACAACGTGTGTTACAGGTCCCCAGATAGAACGTCAATTTACTATACTACTTTTCGGAACAAAATTAGGAGTAAAACGCCAAATAGCGGTGACAATTATGCTAATGGATCTCTGTTCTACTGACCTTGACTTTCATGTATGACAAAGCACTCAAATCTATTCCTTTTATTGACACTTAGAAATTCGTTTTCGTTTAAAAAGTAAATTTCTCCTTATGCCATGTGTTAACGATTGTGTATTGCCCACTACTAGTTTCGATGGCTTCGAAATGGCAGGCTTATGATCACTACGGCCTAAGATGACTGACTGACTGAGTTTAGTTTTACGCCGCTTTTAGCAATATTCCAGCAATATCACGGCGGGGGACACCAGAAATGGTCTTAACACATTGTGCCCATGTGGGGAATCGAACCCGGGTCTTCGGCGTGACGAGCCAACGCTTTAACCACTAGGCTACCCCACCGCCCCGTACGGCCTAAGAAACTAGCAAAGCTAATACTTGTGGTATTGTTGTTATCTATTGCAGTAGCAATATTTAAGCTTTATAACGGTAAACAATCGAATCTGGACTAAGCAAACCACTAATATATGACGATCCACGACGTCGCGTTCAACCCTGTCACGTATTAATCGCCTGTTACGACATTTAAACTGACTGACTGAGTTTGGTTTTACGCCGCTTTTAGCAATATTCCAGCAATATCACGGCAAGGGGGGCCACCAGAAATGAGCTTCACGCATTGTACCCATGTGGGGATTCGAACCCGGGTCTTCGGCGTGACGAGCCAACGCTTTACCCACTAGACTACCCCACCGCCCCACGAACCTGGGACCAGTTCCACAAAGCGATCGTAACCTAATCTGTCATACAGACCCCGAAATGAATAAACCCAATGCAGCTTAAATCTATGATATATGTCTAGATTACCACAGTTCCAGTTTCTGAAAGGGCGGTGGGGTTGCCTAGTGGTTCGTCACGTCGAAGACCCGGGTTTGATTTCCCACATGGGTACAATGTGTGAAGCCCATTTCTGGTGTCCAACGCCATTATATTACTGGAATATTGCTAAAAGCGGCGTAAAACTAAACTCATTCACACACCCAGTTTCTGAAAATGGAGTTTCTTGGCTGCTTTTATTTTATTTTATGAATATAACTTAGAAACTGTTGATTTTGTATCTTTAAAATATGTGCATTTCAGGACAGATCGCAGTCTAATTCTAACTCAAACGGCTCTCGGGATTCCCCCTTCCCTTCAACAAGAAAAGAACAGAAATGAGGACACCGCTCTAGCCTTGTAAACTTAGCCTACATACCATGAAGTATGGAAACCCTGAACGGCGGCCCTACGGAGAAGGAGTCGCTGAGGATGAGGGTCTGGAGGATGCCGTCGTTGTGGAAGTCTTCGTCGATGGTGACGGTGTAGTCTAGAGGCGGGTCTTCCCCGGCGGCGGTGATGAACTGAACGCCGGACAGTTCCAAGAAGTAGCCAGAATTACACAACAGTCTCTCGGCGTGGAACACTGCAAAGTGGTACCGTTCCCCAACCTGAAGAGAAGAATGTTGCATGAAGTCTGACGTTGCTTGGAACTGGATAGAAAACATAACTAAGGTATGGTTTGTTTGTAAGCAACATAAAGTGATGTAGAGGTTCTATATACGTATGAACAATGTTCAGGGGGTACAAAGGTCGGTTTATCACCGGATAACAGGATATTTTTTTAAGATAATGTAATGAGATAATTTGATGCATAATAATATGATATTAACAATATGATAATGATATAATAAGATAATGTGTGCATACATTGAACCATTTAAGTTGTCACTCCTAACAATGCCCTGCCTCTACGTGTACTCTAAGCTACTAGAATAATTGTATCTTTGCAATGTCTTTTGTATGAATATAATTATGTAGCCGTAATTGTCCATAAAAGCAGGATTCGTTTTATCAGAGTTCCACTGTGAAAACTCGAATTTGGAATTCAGATCATGCTGACAATTTGTGCATAAGTTTAAAGCGGGTAAACTTTGTCATATACTGCTTTCAGAAACTTTATTTACATATTCTGTTGTTTAAAACACCGGGTGTTTTGCACTTCAACCACTAGGCTACTCAAGAGTCCCTTACCTCCAAATCTAAATGTACTGCTTCGGTTGTGACGGCGGTGCTGGAACCACAAACACCTCCTGACACCGTCCCCTGTGTGGGCGTGATGGTGGCGCCACCTGCAATATTTACCAGGTAGATACAATAATATAATGCATACAAATGAATACAGACAAATACAGAACAGACAATATGTTACTAAAGGGTTTATAGTTCGAAAACTAATAAACTTATAATACAAGTGAGTAATCAAAACATTCACTCAAACTCTGTGATTTGTTTACATGTTCTGTTGGTGTCGTGTTCACTACGAGGGAAGGGCGGTGGGGTAGCCTTGGACAAAAAGATTCGTTGTGCTCGTCCATCCGCTCGAAGACCTGGCTGTTCGAATCCCCGTAACAAACATGGGTACAATGTGTGAAGCTTTTTATTTTTCTGGTGTCCCCGTCCGTGATTGTTGTTTCATTGGAATATTGTTTTCGAGTTAGAAAAGCGGCGTGAGCCAACGGACTCAGTCAGTCTACATTCAGTCGGGTTCCTAACGGCTGTGGTCAAAACTCCATGTTTCTTACCTATATCTGTCGAACAAAAGAAAGCGTAAGCTTCAAAATTGGATTTGATTATAAATTTATGGAAACGTTGTTTAGCTTAAAACAGTCTCCAAAACACTGCACACTGAAGAACCAAAACACAACTATGATTACTGTATGAAATACATAACCATTGAGAACTGCTACCCATTGTTTCATTTTCAGCGACCATCTACAGCTTCTTCTGCCTGGCAGTGCATTCGGACACACGACTCACCTGTCTGGGCAGCGGTGGACAGGTCGATCTTCTTACAGATGATGGAGGTGGTGCCACGAGTGGGGACGTAGAGGACCATCTTGCCGTTCACGTAGAGCCACATGTCATCACCGCCACCAATGGTGATGGTCTCGGTGCCTTGGTACACAATCCCCATTCGGATGACTGAGATGAACCTGAACAATATTTTGCGTGGTTAACAGCGTTAAATGAGACAAGCTAATGGTGGATGTAATTGCGTCCCATGCGGATGGGTTGTGACGCTAACGAGCAAGACCATCTGATTCATTCGGTCTACGTACATGAAAGGTTACTGGGGCTCAACTCCTACCCGAAAGCCCCTAGACAGACGAATATCGGACGGTAGCTTTTGTTGTCAACACATTCTGTAGCTATGTCCTGTTCAACATGGTTAAAGCGTGAAGCATCATAGAGGGAGCGGCATAAAAACATACTCACTCAGTCACACATAGGAATGAACTACATGCTGATCGGTTCATCAGTTTGGTTCATCCAATGAGTATGCCTGAATTGCTCTGGCCGTTAGACCTATGTACAATGGGATTAAACCACAAGATGTTCCTAAAGTCAAGAACGTATACACTACATACATGAGGACTCCTTTATTACCTAAAATATCCATCTTACCCAAAGTTGTGCGTTGTTCCTCCACAGTCCTTTTGCTCGTTCCCATTGCCGAAGTCATCGACAGGGAAGAAGGATCCGGCACTGTACCTGCAACATCACCCATCACATAATCACATCACCCACCCATCACATCATCCATCACATCATCCATCACATCACCCACCCATCACATCACCCATCACATCATCCATCACCATCACATCACCCATCACATCACCATCACATCACCCATCACATCATCCATCATCATCACATCACCCATCACATCACCATCACATCATCCATCACATCACCCATCACATCATCCATCACATCACCCATCACATCATCCATCACATCACCCATCACATCATCCATCACATCACCATCATCACCCATCCATCACATCCATCACATCATCCATCATCCATCACATCATCACATCCATCACATCATCCATCACATCCATCCCATCACATCCATCACATCATCCATCCATCACCCATCACATCATCCATCACATCACCCATCACCCATCCGTCACATCATCCATCACATCATCCCATCATCCATCACATCATCCATCACATCATCCATCCATCACCCATCACATCATCATCATCCATCCATCATCCATCATCCATCACATCACCCATCACATCATCCATCCCATCACCCATCACCCATCACCCATCACATCATCCATCACATCACCCATCACCCATCCGTCACATCCTTCACATCATCCATCACATCACCCATCACATCATCCATCACATCATCCATCACATCATCCATGACATCACCATCATCCAACTTCATCTCGCAGAATACTAAAATTCAACACAGAGGGTTACATAGTGCACTCTACCCACCAAACAACATATAAACCAAGGGAGAGAAACAAAAATCTAATGTACGAAAGAGTTAATTTTCCAGTTTGAACATGCTAATACATTTCAATAGTAAATATTTCTAATTTGATAGTATTTAAGAAAAAACGTTTCCGCTAAATAGGCTATTTCAAATAAACTTTCTTAAAAGATGTTCAAGACCACCCGATTCATGGCTTGACAATAACAATTCTAGCAATATTAAAGAATCCGGTGATCCTTAACGCCTTTGAGTAGTATATATCAATATGGACATTTCAACCGTGCCCCTTACAGTGAAACCTTCAATCGAGCTTAAGCATCTCAAATATCGTAAACTTGTCACTTTATGACCCCATTTGTGTCGAACGGCGGACACTTCGACATGTGTCAAATTAACGAGGTATGCAGTGTTTCGCTCTGGTCAATACACATATAACACACAACTTCATAAGTATATTTTCTACCTGTAGAGCGGTGGCGCATTGGACAGGTTCTCTAAGGTAATGGTTCCGTTCAGTTCTCTATTGACTCCGTCTTTTCTTAAGAACCAGTCCGAGAAGGAATCTGCGGCAGGGTTGTTAGACTGGGCCAGCCAGCCTCCGTAGGGACTCGAGATGTATCTGGGTTCAGCGATGATCCCTTCCGACAACCCCGCAAAATCGGGGTGTATTGCACTGCAAGAAAGAAAGATGTCCGACAAAATGAACACCCACTGAAGGTTTGGATAATTAAAACGAAATGCTTTTCCGCTTTAGATGACTAGGCGGAATGTATTGCGAGTTTTATCTTTACGACATCACGTTGTTATGATCCAATGTTAAGGAAGTATTTTAGAAACAAATCTAAGTTAGTGAAGAGGGTTAAACGATGATTTAAATCATTCTTCAGTAAAATACTGACATGTCAGATAAATGTAAGAGGAAAATCGGAAGCAGATCTTGAACGTTTTCCACTCTGCAGTTCATTCATCAGCGCCATGAGCAAGACGCGTCTGAGGCATGTGATTCTGCATAGCGAATGGTGAGTGAACGCCGCTTTTAGCGATATTCCAGCAATATCACGGCGAGGGACACCAGAAATGGGCTTCACACATTGTACCCATGTGGGGAATCGAACCCGGGTTTTCGGCGTGATGAGCGAACGCTTTATCCACTAGGCTACCCCATCGCCCCTCAAAGCAAAAGGGTCCCCAAGAGTCACTTTGTACTGAGTGTCATGATCTACCAGTCCGTTTGCGTATAGCAATATGACCAAATATTCATTCGCATTTAATCTGAACATTTTAACTGATTTGTAGAGTAAAAAGGCGAGAGGGAACATCCTACCTGAAGTCATAGTAGAATATCGGCAGTCCTAGGCCAACATCGACGACGGTGTTATTTTCGGGCGTAGCTGAAATAGACGAATAATGCATTAGTGAATACGTTTATGCTATTTACGCCAGCCACCAAATTTTAGCACGGCAATTGTAAACAAATGGACCACACAAAGCAGTGACGGACATAATGTACATGGTTGAAAGCTTTGCCGTGTTGCCTAGTAGTGGTGTTCCGATTAATATAAATAATCGAAGATAGGTCGCAGTGACCAAACGACCAAGCAATCGATCACATTTTCTCATAATCGAACATAAACGATTTTGGAACTACTGTTTTAGTCTTTGAAATACTTGACAATGGAACATATCGTTGAAGTTGTCAGGGCCTGAAAACGTGTTTAATTTTTAGAAAACTTACTTCACTAACTGAAAAACCATGACTGAATATTTCTTGAAGACTCCAGGAAGTTTATGTTCATGATATATAAGTCATCACTTTAAAGTAGCAAGTTGCATCATGTTATACATATCTGCAATAACAACCTGGATAGGAAAATCTGAAAAATGACGCTAACCAATTTTTGTCGATGATTGTTCGTTGGTAATCATCAATTGTGAGATTTAAACCAATTCCCAACACTATTGCCTTGTCTTCTGTATGTTGGCTATATAACATTGTATTCAGCAGTGTTCCAACTCTATAACAGAATAATCGAGTCTAGACCATGCAGTCCAGTGGATGAAATCATGAGCCTGTTACTATGCAAGTAGGATTCGATGACGTGCTTTAACAAAGTCAGATAGCCTGATTGCCCAATCGCGTCCATTGCCTCTTACGACAAGCATGGCTTCTCAATTTTAACCCGGATCTCTATGGGTCATGTTCCTTGTCAAGTTGAGTGCTAATAGACAAAGAAAATGGCTTATTCTGCCCTGCGTTTCTATCGGTGATCTTGAAAGGACCGTCCCTTTCATATACTTACAAACAACATAACTATTAATTTCAAGTAAAGCGATTGTAGTGTTAAATAATTTATGCTTTTGTCAAACAATTGGGCATGTTGATAGGATAATAAGCAACTGATGCAATAATAACATTTGTACTCTTTTTATAGAAATTTGCCTAACCAAACATGGGTAACTAATATATGTGTTAAAGACATATGCAACAATAAATGCACATTTTATACTGAGTTCTAATTTTGAGTCATTTTCAATATTTGGGAGACATGAAATTTTAATATTTCTTTCTGTTTATAAATCAAAAAGCAAATATTTTATTGATTTATGTTGTAATGTCATGTATAATACTAGTAAGTAATATAAGTTGTATGCTTCTCTCGAGGGTAATACGGTCTGATGTACGTCTTTTTGTAGCAGTGTCACCTGAATCAGTAGCAAGGATACTGTCTCTTTGGAACAATCTGACACCTCTGTCAAAGTCTCAAACTATCATCGAAAACCATCATAACTTATCAAATTGATTTTATTGAACTGAATTCTGAGGGTCACCCATAAAACTTGCGTCAAGTTGACTCGTATGATAATATTTTGAGATTCTTATACAAAATTGTTGCGTCAAATACGCAGGAATCATGCGTCATGTAAAACCCTGTTTATAAGAAAGTCTGAAATTAATTTCTCGTTTTATCAAAATACGTTTTAAAAATATATTCAATATGAAACGTCACTGAGGAAATGTCAGTAACCTATGTAATCACTCTAGTGCCAAAACAATATTGCCATACATCGTGTCCCCTATTAATTTCAGTGAGTGCTTTGGTACCTGGAGTGGATGCAGTGTGGAAGAGAGCCGGCTCGCTGTAGCCGCTGACGATGCCGTCGACGGCAGCCGTGACGGCACACACGTACTCCGAGTCCGGCTTCACGGTCATGATCACACTTGTTGCGTTAATATCCGTCGTCAGTATGTCTCCTTTTGAACCAGTGCAGGTTGCAGTGTAGGAGCTGAGGGATATAATTCATTACAAAAATAAATGGATCTCTTAGACAAAGTAGTCTGTTCATTTTTCGTATTCAAAGTTCAATGTTTGTTGTATGAATAAGCATGGTCACGATGCAAATATTGAAACAAATATTGTATAATTTAAGGTATATCTACTGAAACACTAAACTCCAATGTCGGTCTCTCTCTCTCTCTCTCTCTCTCTCTCTCTCTCTATATATATATATATATATATATATATATACACACACATATATATATATATTATATATATATATATAGGGGTTGTACGCGCGCCTATGTGCTCAATATAAGTCCACTAATGCATATAATGTTTAAGGTCCTTTTAACACCCATGATATCATTGCAAGCCAAATGAATAAAGATTATCACATGATATCACATGATATATGTGTTGTGTAATATTTACAAATTTTAAAAACCCATGTCCAAGAGTGTCCTTATATATATACCACCGAGGATGAGCCCCCTCAGAATTACTTTCTACTATCAAATCTATGTACGAACGACCTTTCGAGAGTGAACCAAATAAATAGTTAAACTTTCAATATGTACAAATGTTCTATTTTAAGTATATCCTGTTACATGATATAAAAAAAGGGTCATTTAAATGAAGTGTCATTAAATATTATTTCCATTTCTGGTATGGTTGAAAAACGTCTGCACCCAAAGGCCTTAATTTTGTAAGTAAATATTTCGGGGTGAAATGTTGGTCCGGCTCTGAAATGGCGTTGTGATGAAGACGTCTGCTGACACAACACAACCTACACGATAGTGTCGTTGCTGAGGAGCTTCTTATCCTTCTCCAGCTCGGAGTTCTGGTATAGTGGCCTCGTCCACGTGACGTTAACGCTGTTGCCGTCCACAGCGCCACGGACGTTGGTCGCCGCTGTACAATAAGGCCATGCATTAGAAACATGTAATCATCGCTGAGAATTTTGTTTACAGTAATGGACAAAACAATTGCATTTAGGTCCACGTTTGGAGAAAGTTTATTTCTGTAGAATGACGTTAGAACTGATCCCCACCAGCTCGCACCATGTTGTATTGAGCTACCAACTGTACACTTGAAATATGGAAACATCTGCGTTTCCATTTTACTAATAATGGTTGTAACAAAGTTGTGATTGTGATTTTAGGCTTTTTTTTCTTGTTCGGTTATGTAACCTTAGGCGACACGTTAATTGTACACGCTATGATAGAACTAAAACACTATTCAAAGTAGTCTGGAACTAAACTCTCACCTATTGCAGGGATCCTACGTTGAGTGTCAACAATGATAATATTTGAGATAACCGTCTCGATAATGTGTATCAATGTATCACTGAAAACATCTTACCACATATATACCTTTCTTTGTCCCCTTTCATGAAAAACTTTGAGTCTTTTTCAAACGCTATGCCAAGTAGAACTCCTGCCGTCACATTTGGCTGTGAACAGTTACCTCCCTTTACCACAGTGTAGACCTCGGCAAGGGTTCGATACAAATCGCAGGTACACACAAAGGCGTTGTTGGTCAAGTCTCTGCAACAATAGTTGTGGCTGTATTAATGCATACATACATACATACATACATACATACATACATACATACATACATACATACACTGTCCTCCAAGACACTAGGTCAAGGAAATCTGTGTCTAATGGAATGGATGTGTCTTCCTGAATAAATATGAGGCACAAAAAGATCGGATGTCCAATTTCTCTCCCAAACCTTTGAACCGCTAACATCAGGGTCAGAATTACTCTTCAACAACCGATGCTTGTCGTAAAAAGTGACGAAAAGGATCAGATGGTCTGGCTGAATGCCAGGGTAAGTACGTTACAAAATTCCAACTACGTAGATCGATGCTCGTTATGTCAATCACTGGATTGTCTTATCCAGACTTGATTTAGAAGACGATGTCGCACAACTGGGTTAGTGCGATGTTAAACAACATTCTGAACCATGACATTGAAACCGATGCATATTGTGATATAATAATCAGTCTAGTGCCACGTAGTGTGTACAAAAGCAAATCTAGCTCAGTCAGCTCTATTCCACGATTTCCTAGTCAACTACATAGCTGACATTGCCACGATGTTAAATATTATTCTGTTTGAATACTTGGTTCAGTCTCACGATATGATCAAGCTTGCAAACAGGTTATATTAATGTGGAGCGTGACATTCGCTTATGACCACATGGGTACATCGTGTAGGTCCTTATCATTACATCATACCAATGCAAAAGTTAAACATGGCAGATATAAAGAACACGGTCACGTTTCTCAAGATCAGGGGCTCCTTTCACGAAGCAACCTTTACTAAGGTTAACCTGAACTACCATTCTTTAACATTGCACTAAGGTTACCTTAGTGACTTACGATCACCTTTGCTTTGTGAAAGGAGGCCCTGGCCTTTAACAGAGAAACAATGTGACTGTAGGACTACAATATTACTTAATGACAAAGGAAACTGTAATGTTATTTTCGAAATTACAGGAAATAAGACATAAATCACAAAGTTGTGTGTGTTCGATAATGTGATAGTGTTTTTCGTCAGTTGTGTGTTCTGGTGACACCATGTGGAGGCCATACTCGATACAGAATTGCCATATCACATGACGTTACCAAATGGCGCAGTTTAACGTCTTATTGACGTTATCACAAATCACGCCTATCACAATGAGGCCTCACGTTGTTTTCTTTATATGTTTTCATAAGCAAACATCAATCTCTTTATTCGCCACTGTATTACAGTTTACATAGTTCGCGTTTCTTTTGGAACTGAGTATATATAAAACGTCAATGCAGATGAATAGTATTACCCTTGATGATTCTCAGAAACAGATTTCATTTGTTGTAAAGAGGAAAACAGCAGTTCAAATCATGAGTAGGGACAAATCAGTGATGGTATCAAAATGGTAAGCATGCAATCTCGTTAGTACATTATAAAGATTTATTTTGTACACGTACATGTTAGTCAGCGTTGCGTTCAGGTAATCAAAGGCGCCGACCTCGATGGATGTGAGGAGGTTATCCGACAAGACTATTGACGAAAGAACGGAACCATTCTTGGCACCGGGGAAGTGGTACAGCAGGTTCTTGGAGAGATCCAGCGTCTTGAGGTTCAACATTGGATCCATCAGCCCTTTTGGCCATGTAACGATGTCATTTTCACTGAGATCTCTGTGAACAATAGTTAACAACAGTAGACCGGTTAGTTGACTATAAACAATAGAAGACCGGTTAGTTGACTGTAAACAATAGTAGACTGGTTAGTTGACTGTAAACAATTGTAGACTGGTCAGTTGACTGTAAACAATAGTAGACCGGTTAGTTGACTGTAAACAATAGTAGACCGGCTAGTTGACTGTAAACAGAAGTAGACCGGCTAGTTGACTGTAAACAATAGTAGACCTGTTAGTTGACTGTAAACAATAGTAGACCGGTTAGTTGAGTGCAAACAATAGTAGACCGGTTAGTTGACTGTAAACAATAGTAGATCGGTTAGTTGACTGTAAACAATCATAGACCAGTTAGTTGACTATAAACAATAGTAGACTGGTTAGTTGACTGTAAACAATAGTAGACCGGTTAGTTGACAGTAAACAATAGTAGACCGGTTAGTTGACTGTAAACAATAGTAGACCGGTTAGTTGACTGTAAACAATAGTAGACCGGTTAGTTGACTGTAAACAATAGTAGACCAGTTAGTTGACTGTAAACAATAGTAGACCGGTTAATTGACTATAAACAATCATAGACCGGTTAGTTGACTGTAAACAATAGCAGACCGGTTAGTTGACTATTAACAATCGTAGACCGGTTAGTTGACTATAAACAATAGTAGACCGGTTAGTTGACTATAAACAATAGTAGACTGGTTAGTTAACTATAAACAATAGTAGACCGGTTAGTTGACTATAAACAATAGTTGACCGGTTAGTTGACTGTAAACAATAGTAGACTGGTAAGTCGACTGTCAAAAATTGTAAAATTGTCAATTGACTGTACAAAGCTCTGGCAGACTGGTCAACTGACCGTCAATTTTACAGTAGCCCCAGAAGTATCCCAGATCTTTCAAATTACATGAATGGCGGTTGGGTAGCCTAGTGGTTAAAGCGTTCGCTCGTCACACCGAAGACCCGGGTTCGATTCCCCACATGGGTACAATGTGTGAAGCCCATTTCTGGTGTCCCCCGCCGTGATATTGCTGGAATATTGCTAAAAGCGGCGTAAAACTAAAGTCACTCACTCAAATTACATGAATATAAAAGATAGCATATAATAAAATCGATTTGTGATTTTAAATAATATTATCAAATGAGAATTCGTATCAAACATACTTATGAATAATTCTAAAACCTGAATAAAAATCGTTTCAGCAACTGAAATAGTTTATATTTTTCGACAAAACTCACAGTTTATTCGTATTGATGAGAGAATCAAAGGACCCGTTCTTGATTTCCGTCAGCTGATTGCCTTTCAGGTTGATGTCGTACATGTTGGTCAGGCCGTCGAAGGCGTCGTCGGGAAGAGCTGATATCAGGTTATAGGAAATGTCCCTGCAAGGGTACGTCTTATTTGACCATACGACCTGGCTCGCATGTCAACAATGTTCAAAACACGTGGCTATAAAATATATCTGATACAGATTATGATAAAACATACAGAAAGTATCACCTAAAGCACACTATATTTAGACGCTGAATGGCATTTTTAACAAGGGTCTGCATCTTTTCCCGCGTGTCCCAAATGACACCGATTGGGCGTAAATTCCTATTTCAATTAGAAATAATATTTGAAATAACTTAACATATACGCGACAAATAATTTTCTATATTCATAATAAATGTCTGCCAGAAGCAGAGTAAAAATGCCATGGATGCCCGAAATCTCTAATATGCTGCCTGTCGTTCTGGAGAGTTGCGTCCCTTAACATTACCAGGATCCAATGATCGGGATTTGATGTGGGCACTATGCAGTCAAACACTGACCTACGATTGTCTCGAAGTAAGACCTGATCTTTGACTAACTCCTTTAGTCATCATTTTACAACTGTGTCGAACTTCGGATAACACGAAGTACTTACGTATCTCCATTTGACTTCGACCAAACGGTGTTTGTACTTGTGTATAAATCTGTATTACCTACTTATATTTAAACAATATTTACAATTACACTAATACATGTATTTCTAAATATATATACTGTACTTACATGTATGTCATTTTATTCTCCAAGAAAATGTCCCGAGGGAAATTTGTGAGTTTGTTGTAAGCAAGGCTCCTGAAATCAAAAGAAATTAAATTTCAACTTAAGTCGTACAATTTCTCGTGATCAGGGCCTCACACAAAATTTCAAGTAAATTAGTATAGGTTCCCAGTATAGAATACAGTCTAACTGGGACATGAATACGAATACTTTCATAGTATTTCACAAATCTTTAAAGTGGGATTATGTGACCCGGTTTGGGGTAGATTGCTGCCAAGAACAGGTAATTCTGTGCCACGTTATAACCTAGACATTTGAGTTGTTCGGTTAATACTGGCAAAATGTTTAGATTAGACACACTTGAATCTTAATTTCGTGAATCAAATTTGTTAGAACTGCCGATTGAATAAGGGCCAACAATCACCAGTTCTACAGGGAATTAGTTCCCTCGGAACAAATATTCCCAGTGCAATTGTATCGTGGAACGTTTTCCTTGTCAAAACTGTCAATAGGAATAGCTGCCCTTGACAAAAAGTAAGCACGAAGGAACAATTTCACTACAGGAAAATATACCCTTTGACACTAGTCTCTTCTAATGTACGTACCATTGCATTGCTTTTCCGACGGAATACATATATAACTACAGTTATTCATACAAACCGTCTCAATGGGTACGTACACCAAAGCCACTGGACGTTTTCTACAAGATCCGGAGGTAACATTTGGAGGTTGTTGTTACGAAGGTCGAAGGCGCTCTTCACCTGTGACGTGTCTGAAAACATCTTTCCGTAGATTGCTTTCAGTTGTACGCTGAACATGACGCTAGAACAGACATTAACGTTAAAATATTAACGGCAACACCCTTTCCATATTCATAAGAGATGATGGTCGATTCAGACTCTATGGTATGCATGTGTTTATGAATCACTATCAATATTGATGATACCAAGGTGAGCGTATTATGACTCTGATGGAACCCATCACAAACACATGCAAATGCAAGTCAATTGTTCACATGAAACAAAGGTATGGGAACCAAAGGTACAAGTCAATAGGGATTTGCATAGGGCATTATTCCTGTCATCGATGAGTCAGATATGGAACGCGTCTCTTGGGGAATATTGATTCTTTCAAACATTTTTATAACTATGTAAATATCAGAACCAATCTTCATACTGCAACATAATGTTTAACCATCCACCTTCATCTTCTTCTGGTAAATGAGAACATCTTTGGTAAGGTCCCCACAGCAGGCGTGAAGATGGTAATTAATTACCAAGTAAGGAACATAGTGAAGCAATGGTTTTCACGACCATGTTTCTGGAAGAACAATTATGTATGCAAAGGAGGCATATATTCTTTTTGTACTTACAAATACTCAAGTACGTTCTGTCCGGCGAATATTCCTTCCTCCACGTAGTCGATTGTATTTTCAGTCAGATACAAATACCGGGTTTCAATGTTCTCGAACGTGGCAGTCTTCAGATGGTTGATGTTGATAAACTGAAGAAACCTGTGAGACAAACATACAGTGAGTGAGTCTATTATATATTAGATTACAAACAGTGTTCCAAAGAAAGGCAATAACCCTACCACATGACGGCGGCTTGCATTAGTCGAATTTGGCCCAGACAAACCGTATCACGCAATCAACTGGGTCGTACCTTTTGATCTATTAAGTCGCAACCAGGTTTTTTTTTACACCGCATTGGGCAATATTCCAGCTATGTGACGGAGGTCGATATACAAGTCTAGTCTGGACCAGAAAAATCAGAGATTGAGTTCGTGAGTCTCGATCTGCAATTGGGTGAGTGAGTGGGTTTAGTTTTACGCCGCACTCAGCAATATTCCAGCTATATGGCGACGGTCTGTAAATAATCGAGTCTGGACCAGACAATCCAGTGATCAACAGCATGAACATCGGTCTACGCAATTGGGAAGCGATGACATGTGTCAACCCAGTCAGCGAGCCTGACCACCCGATCCCGTTAGTCGCCTCTTACGACAAGCATGGGTTACTGAAGGTTCATTCTAACCCGGACCTTCACGGGTTCTGCAATTGGGATACGATGACATGCATCATACAAGTCATGGTACCTGACCGTCTTATCCCGTCAGTCAAACAAACATTGATTGTTGCAGGCCAATTCTAACCCTGATGGTAACGAGGTGCTTGTGAACTGATATTTGGTGTATGTGCATATATAATACTTACAAGTCCTGCAGCTGCAGATCTCTGAAGGCGTAGGGCTCGATGACCCAGAGAGGATTGTTGTTTAGGGTCATGTCTGGAGTCCCCTTGATGTTCACGAAGGCGTTGGGTCCAAGCAGCGCAATCTGGTTATCGGACAAGTCTCTGAAATAGAGGTGTTATCAATGTGTTCAAAGACAAGTCTCTGAAATAGACGTGTTGTATGTGTTCTCATGGTCACTTAAAGTCTTCTGTTATCCACATGCTCTAAAACAAGTGTCTTAAATAGAGGTGTTATCAATATGTTCACGTGTTATCTATGTGCTTAACGACAAGTCACTGAAATAGAGGTGTTATCAATGTGTTCAAAGACAAGTCTCTGAAATAGACGTGTTGTATGTGTCCCCATGGTCACTTAAAGTCTTCTGTTATCCACATGCTCTAAAACAAGTCTCTTAAATAGAGGTGTTATCAATATGTTTACGTGTTATTTGTGCGCTTTACAAGTCACTGAAATAGAGGTGTTATCAATATGTACACGTGTTATCTATGTGCTTTACAAGTCACTGAAATATAGGTGTTATCAATGTGTTCACGTGTTGTGTATGTGCTTTACAAGTCACTGAAATAGAGGTGTTATCATTATGTTTACGCGTTATCTATGTGCTTTAGAAGTCACTGAAATAGAGGTGTTATCAATGTGTTCACGTGTTATCTATGTGCTTTAGAAGTCACTGAAATAGAGGTGTTATCAATATGTTCACGTGTTATCTATGTGCTTTACAAGTCACTGAAATAGAGGTGTTATCAATGTGTTCACGTGTTGTGTATGCGCTTTACAAGTCACTGAAATAGAGGTGTTATCAATATGTTCACGTGTTTTGTGTGCTTTTATGTGCTTTACAAGTCACTGAAATAGAGGTGTTATCAATATGTTCACGTGTTGTGTATGTGCTTTACAAGTCACTGAAATAGAGGTGTTATCAATATGTTCACGTGTTATCTATGTGCTTTACAAGTCACTGAAATAGAGGTGTTATCAATATGTTCACGTGTTATCTATGTGCTTTACAAGTCACTAAAATAGAGGTGTTATCAATGTGTTCACGTGTTATCTATGTGCTTTACAAGTCACTGAAATAGAGTTGTTATCAATATGTTCACGTGTTGTCTATGTGCTTTACAAGTCACTGAATATAGAGTGTTATCAATATGTTCACGTGTTATCTATGTGCTCTACAAGTCACTTCGATAGAGGTGTTATCAATGTGTTCACGTGTTATCTATGTCATATGTGCCTTACAAGTCACTGAATTAGAGGTGTTATCAATATGTTCATGTGTTGTCTATGTGCTTTACAAGTCACTGAATTAGAGGTGTTATCAATATGTTCACGTGTTATCTATGTGCTTTACAAGTCACTGAAATAGAGGTGTTATCAATGTGTTCACGTGTTATCTGTTGCTCTACAAGTCACTGAAATAGAGGTGTTATTAATGTATTCACGTGTTGTCTATGTGCTTTAGAAGTCACTGAAATAGAGGTGTTATCAATATGTTCACGTGTTTTCTATGTGCTTTACAAGTCACTGAAATAGAGGTGTTATCAAAGTGTTCACGTGTTATCTATGTGCTTTCCGTCAAGTCACTTAAATAGAGGTGTTACCAATGTGTTCAAAGACAAGTCACTGAAATCCACAAATGTTCTATACCTTCTGAGAAAAGTCACTTCGATAGAGCTGTTATCAATGTGGTCACTTAAATAACAGTGAGTGAATGAGTGAGTTTAGTTTTACGCCGCTTTTAGCAATATTCCAACTATATCACGGCGGGGGGACACCAGAAATGGGCTTCACACATTGTACCCATGTGGGGAATCGAACCCGTGTCTTCGGCGTGACGAGCGGACGCTTTAACCATTAGGCTACCCCACCGCCTCATATGGGTTAACAACGTGCTACAAGACAAATCACTGCACGTGTTATGAGACAAGTCCTAAGGAAGTCATTGAAATGCACATACTGCCAGTGTTATCTCAGATTAAACAAGCTCTGACAAACGGCAGAGTTTCTGAAACGTAATGCCCGTTCGTGGAATGTTGGACTTACTGTCTTATCATAGAAATAATTAAATACAATAGAGCGGTCATTGCCGGTGAGGTGAAGGTGTCATATACAATTTGTGATGATTGATGTTAAGTTACTGATATCAATTGCGTTTGTGATGATGATGATGATGATGATGATGATTGATGATGATGATGATGTTATGACGATAAAGGAAATATTAACGGTTTTGCGTTTATCTTTTATGCATAATGGAATCTGTTTTTTGCATATAATGGAGACTGGTTATTGTCTGGCTTTGACTGATCTATGATTGTGCTTCTGGTCTCAACCTCGCTAGTTTATCCATAATCTGAACAGCATATGCTGAGCCAGTTACGTGTGAGTAGTGCTACAGGTAAACCTTTTCGTAATAATAATAATAATAACAATGCTAATATTTGCGCCTAGAATCCAACATGATGCTGCTCTCTGGCGTTACATTATTACCCTGACGACTTTCAAAGCTGCTACTAAGCGCTTCGCGCGACCGTACAGTTCCGTACATCCGCTTCTCATGTACCCATTTTGAACAGCTGGGTGGACTGAGTGCAATGTGGACGAATGATGGAACACAGTATGAGACTCCACCGGGATTCGAACCCAGGCCTTTGGCGTGAGAGGCAAGCATGCTAACCACTACACCACTGTGCTCAGTTTTCCTGTAATCTTCCTTCGCTCTCTGAAGTTTTAAGCCCAACGGAACCTGTTTCCGCAGGTAATCGAGCTCAAGGGTGATTAGTCTCCGACGTTGTCGTTTCATATTTGCACGTAATTGTGATACTGATGATGACCATGACGATGACTGTGATGCCGACGACGATGATGATGTGATGGTGATATTCATGATGATGACGATGCTCATGGTGGTGGTGATGATGATGATAACGATCGTGAGGAGGAGGAAAATGAAGACGATGATGTTTAATAATGATGGATGATGATGATGATGATGTTAATGAAAATGAAGACGATGATGTTTAATGATGGATAGATGATGATGATGATGATGATGTTAATGGTCGTGAGGAGGAGGGAAATGAAGACGATGATGTTTAATGATGGATAGATGATGATGATGATGATGATGATGATGTTAATGGTCGTGAGGAGGAGGGAAATGAAGACGATGATGTTTAATGATGGATAGATGATGATGATGATGATGATAACGGTCGCGAGGAGGAGGAAAATGAAGACGACGATGTTTAATAATGGATAGATGATGATGATGATGATGATGATGATGATGATGATGATGATGATGATGATGACGACGACGACGATGATGATAACGGTCGTGAGGAGGAGGAAAGCAACAGAAAAGGCAGATGTTTATGAATATATTGACCAACTCACAGTTTGACATTGCAAGTCAGATTTGTGAAGGTCCCAGGTCGGACCTCGGTGATGCGATTGTGATGAAGGAGGAGCTCGTTCACCTCCAGGTTGTTGAAGTCTCCGCCATTGGGTAGCTCCGTCAGTCGGTTATAATGGAGATGTCTGAAACCACACAAACACACATACTGAACACTGGACAATTAGTACTGTTTCAGATATTGTTATACAATGGTCTTTAAAGCGATCGCCCGTCACACCTGTCCGGATGTGATTCCGTGTTACGATACAATGTGCGAAGCCGATTTCTGATGTCAACTGCCGTATAATTGGAATATCACCAAAAGTGGCATAAAACCATTCTCACTTGCTCGTTTGTTCCAAGAATATCGTGGAAGGCGCATGAAACAATTCCAGCTCATTTAAGTATGAAACAAATCAGTACATCCTCTTTAGATCTCATCTATGTGTTGAGCGATTAAACAAAACCACTTACCTCTCTTTAGGGCTTTAAATACCATGTTTCTAAAAAGGTCAGTATTAAAAATATGGACAACATATTCCTGTACCAACTTTATTCAAAGAGTGAATGAATGGGTGAGTATGGTTTTGCGCTGTTTGTAGCAATATTCTAGCAATATCATGGGCAAAAGAAATGGGGCTCCATGTGGGTAATCAAAACCCAGGTCTTCGGCGTGACGAGCAAACAGTAACAAGAGGATTTCTAGGTTGTTTCTTTTATATGATAGTCACGTGAACGAAAATGTTCCAGAATGAATTCCTGCCAGTAATGGCCGAGGGGTTGATCTAGGGGCACGTACAGAAGTACACTGCTCGTGATGTGGCTCAAGGCACCCTCCTCCACGTATCTGATGTTGTTGTTATGGAGCAAGAGACGGACAGTCAGTGGACAATCGGACAGTAGTCCTTTCTGAATCCTCTCCAGCTTGTTATAGTGCAGGTCTCTGAAGTGTGAATGGACAACCGGTCAGCAGATTTCGGCTCATAAAATATAGCGAAAGAAACAATATCTCAAAGGATGACGATCATACGACGATTACTCAAGCTTATTGAGCTTATTGTAATGCAGGTCTCTGAATTGTGAACAGACAAACAGTCAGCAGATTTCGGCTCATAAAATACTAGTATAGGGAAAGAAAAAATATCTCAAAGAATGACGATCATACAACGATTCCTCAAAATATATATTTTTGGCAAATCTGACAGGTACTAAACTGGTGGAGGCTAAACAAAGGCTACAAACAAGATACAACGGTGAATACCAGGGCTCGGAACGGGTCCAAATATTCTACCCGGGTACCCCACCTCCTATTACTCTACCCTACCCGGAAAACCGTTATTGTTAATTCCTGACATCAAATTTGTAAGAAATGGCAATATATATTCTTCAGCTCGGAGGCTAAAATTCCGAGTTTTTCAATATCTTAACCATGTATTATATTCAAAACAGGTGACTGTCTAAATCTTCAAGACAATACAACCTTTTAATCATGAAAAAAGAACATATAACATTGTTTGATCTATTAGTCACATGATCATAACGGGTTCGGGTACTGAGACGGGTACCCGGGTCCAACACATTACCGGGTATCCGGGTTACCCATCCCAGCCCTAGTGAATACCCAGCTTATACGAGAAGGAACCGTGTTTGACGAATGGTACCAGATCCAAGAAAACGGACATAGCAGTCAAGGTCGGGGCTATCGATCTAATCTCACTGTCATCCGCTTTTCAAAATGTTTTATTTTGGTAATATCCTAGATTGGCTGAAATAATTTATTCATATTTAAAAAAAATGAGACAATTGTCAGACAATTCAGTATTGCCTCATAGAAACGGAGTGGTTCAAATTGAACAAACGCTTGTCACAGCCTGCTATGCTCAGTCAGTCCTATACAGATGATATACATTTGTCTCCATGACAACAACTTTAATTATCAATAAGCAAGTCTTTGCACTTTTGTGGGACGTTACTCCGCGAGTACCTACAGCGTGGTGAGGGCGGTGCAGCCTCTGAAGGCGGTGTCGGGGATGTCCACGATGCTGTTGTAGCCCAGCAGTAACTGCTCCATGTTGGTCAGATAGGAGAAAGGGTTCTCGTTGGTGAACCGGAAGTAGTTAGACTGCAGAACGCTGACAGAAAGATTGTTTCAATGTTACTCATCTTACCCGATAACATCAACTTTATGGACAACAGCTACGTGTTTATCGTTATGCGTAAACTTGTATGCTTCGATATTTTATCATCAACTTGTCGATCCAACAATTAAAATTAAAACTTGGAAACAGTTGCAAAGAGGGATCTCATACTCTAATTGGTTGGTTGGTAGTTTAACGCCTCACTCAGCAATATTCCAGCTATATGGCGGCGATCTGTAAATAATCGAGTCTGGACCAATCAATTCAGCGATCACTTTATAGATAATATCGACATATGACCTAATCGAAGTATTGGTTGGGATGAGGGGCAGTGCTGGAGTGCAGACGTTTCCGAAGTGGGGGTTTCGGGAACATGGCTAATATAAAAAGAGGGGGATAAGTAAGGGAAAAGAATGAAGAATCATTTTGTAGAGGGGTGCTAGCTGGCGAGATGGGAATGTGTTAGAAGATATGAAGCACCATCGTTCAATAATTCTCAACACATAAATACTCACAGTGACCGTATGCTGTTTGGAAATGAGTTGTTTTCTATAACAACTATGTTGTTGTTTTCAAGATATCTGTAAAACAATATAAAGTCAGTGTATTATAAACAACGTTAGTATTTAGAGCGAGTGAGTGAGTTTAGTTTTACGCCGCACTCAGCAATATTCCAGCTATATGGTGGAGGTCTGTAAATAATCGAGTCTGTACCAGACAATCCAGTGATCAACAGCATGAGCATCGATCTGCCCAAATGGGAACCGTTGACATGTGTCAACCAAGCCAGCGAGCCTGACCACCCGATCCCGTTAGTCGCCTCTTACAACAAGCATGGGTTACTGAAGATTCATTCTAACCCGGAACTTCACGGGTCTAGCATTTAAAGAGGTACTGTTGTACTTAGGATCTAGGAAGGATTCCGGGTTAGATGCGACTCCCTAGCGGTGGTGAGAAGAAACTGAAACAGGAACGGCCGGATTTCGGTCTAGGTCTAGATGTTGTGCATACATAATTAGTGACGTGTGTCAAATTGAGCCATGTCTTTGATTGAAATTAATCTGCTGTTAGATTAATACACATCATATAATTTCAGTTTCCATGAAAATATAGTTCTTTTGGGAATTACTGATTAAATGTATCTGACTAAACACGCGTCTCGTTTTCAGTCATCAGGCCTCCAGGTTCGATGAGCTGACGTCTTATCCTCCCAGGCAATGTGGATGATTTGTCGGAAAACAAATCACTGGCTTGCCTGGTCGATTATTTACACGTCGTCATGACGGCGTCCTGTGGCGTTAACATCAAATAAATACATCCTTCTTCTGATGAAAAAAATGTGCAAATTATTACCCCGGATCGAGCGCATTGCATTACACATCCTTAAACGCAAAGACTAACGCACTTACAGCAACTGTAACGCCGTCAGCTCCGTGAACGTCCCTGCTTCAACGTGGGTGATGTTGTTGTTAGACAGTCTGAGAATCGTGAGACTGGTCAATATATCACTGGTCACTGCTTTAGGGACGTAGGTCAACCAGTTGTAATGAAGGTATCTGGACAGAAAGATATTTGTGAAAAGCACTGACCGTCTACCATTCCTGGAACCCAGGGGCGGTCGGATAGCCTAATGGTTAAAGCATTGGCTCGTCACGCCGAAGACTCGGGTTCGATTCCCCACATGGGCACAATGTGTTAAGCCCATTTCTGGTGTCCCCGCCGTGATATTGCTGGAATATTGCTAAAAGCGGCGTAAAACTAAACTCAGTCAGTCAGTCAGTCAGTCAGTCAGTCCTGGAACCCAATCCACAAAGCGTTCGTAATGTTACGAGCTATCGTAACTGTATAGTTTGTCATGGGCTAACCAATGCCGTAGAGTTACAAACGCTTTGTAGATCGGGCCCCTGGCTCCCACTTGTTATATGGGTGTACACTAGCTGGCCATAAGTGAGTCATCATTAGTGAAATTCCCATCGACTGACATGTTAATTAACTCTTGCAAGAATATTTTTCATAAATTTAGTTTTGGTCGAATTGCTTTAAATACTCATCTACCAGCGGGGAAATCATCTCAGCTACATACATAATTTCCATTCAATTGTCCGATGATTATTAAGAAAACTGCAACTATCTAAACAACATATACTAGTATTAGACATACCAATCAGGTTTAACATGGCTGTCTATGGGATAGATTAAAATTAAGTTGTACTTATGGTGCTTAATCAGGTGTCATTTGATAACTAATTAAAGGAAAGATGAAAGAAAATATGTCGAAGATGATTTCCAAGATGTTTGCAAAATATCAAAATAAAATGACTTCTACTCAATTTACGAAAATTATTCTTGCAACAGTTAATTAACACGTAAGTCTATGGAAATTTTACTAATGATGACTCACTTATGGCCAACTACTGTATATATCGGAAGGTTATGGCGATTGATTGTTAGTGGGGGCATATTGAAGCGCTCGTAAAATGCACTACGCCGTTATCAAGGAATTCTGGTACATTCAGTTTTGCCCCCTTACTCACAGCTCAACCAGCTGCCCCATGCAGGAGAAGGCGTCGTCGGGGATGCTGCTGTCTTTAAGGCCGTTGTTGTTCATGTAGAGAAATACCAGGTTGTTGGCGTTGCAGAAGTAGCCAGCTTGGATGAAGTCGATGGCGTTGGTTCCAAGATGCCTGCAATACCAAAGGTGCGTATGGATTGTCTATTTCTACTCTCTACATATAACATCTAAGAAGCGACCTGTGAATCCGGGTTAGAATTCACCTTCTGTAACCCATGCTTGCCGTAAGAGACGACTAACGGGATCGGGTGGTCAGACTCGCACTCAGCAATATTCCACCTATATGGCGGCGGTCTGTAAATAATCGAGTCTGTACCAGACAAATTCAATCCATTGATCAACAGCATGAGCATCGATCTATGCAACTGGGATACGATGACATATGTCAACCAAGTCAGCGAGTCACGACTGCCTGATACTGGGTAAACTTACAGCTTCTGCAAGTTGGAGAGAGTGTTGAAGGGTACATATGCTGCCGCCCGTTGCAGTGCTGTGTTGAGCATGCTCTTGGGAAAGTCATCAGGGCTGTACTCTGTGGGGCTTTTTATTAAGTTGTTGTCAGCATAACTGAAAAAAGACAATCCAAAACTAATAAATAAATAAACAATTGAGAATTTTTGGATAATTTAGTTTTAAAAATTCGTAATGTTTCTTGTTCATATTTAACATTTGATAGCACATCAATATCATTTAAAGTATTAAATCAAAGAAAACCGTTTCATTTCACCAATTTCTAGTCTGTCATACAGACCCTGAAGCAAATATATCCAAGAAATCCCACGCAAAATGTGGCAAGTCTAGATTTCAACAGTTTTATTATATTTTGGGGTGTTTTTTCACTGTGAGCCTTTTTTCCCTAAAATATGTTCATTTCAGAGACTAGTTGTTAGTCTCACCAATTTCATACTATAATAATCAACTGGATATGTATTTCACCAAATATAAGATCATTCATTTGTTGGATTCCTCGGTTAATGTGAGATATGCTGGAAGAGAAATTATATAAATGTATTTATTCTAATATACGGATAATCTCACTAATACTAATGTCGCGTGGTAACAAAAAATCAGCGATATTAAGTTGCGTATTTTCTTCTCCCTTACCGACAGGATATACTCACATTTCTTCAATCGATACATACGTATCTGCCGATAACGCCGGGTGAGGAAAGGTTGGCAACGCGTTATCACTGATCCAACTGCAATACAAATTAAAGGGTGAACACAATTCGCATGAAAGGGTTATTCACATAATCTAAACGAGCTACTCGCCACTTCTCTCTCTGTTGGAAAAGATAGTCAAAGTGCATAGAGAATATAGAAATATGTTCCACTGGAAGCGCTCTTAAAAGGTCGTTTTAACGGCATGTAGCTTAATAGCATTACCATATTCGTTGAAAGTGAGTGAGTGAGGTTAGTTTTACGCCGCACTAAGCAATATTCCACCTATATGGCGGCGGTAAATGATTGAGTATGGTCCAGACAATCCAGTGATCAACAACATGAGCATATTACCACAAGCATGGTTTACTGAAGATCAATTCTAACCCGAATCTTCACGGGTCATATCCGTTAAAAACTCAGGAAGGCAGCGCAGTCGCGGGCGATGTGGAGAGTTGCGTCCCTTTACATCGAGGATGCACGAGGATTTCGAGTTGGAAACCAGTTTTGGCCCTCATTATGGCCCTTTTAAATTTCATATCAGAGGGGGTGGGGGGGTGTTTTGAGGTAGCCTAGTGGGTTAAAGTATCCGCTCGTCACGCCGAAGACCCGGGTTCAATGCCCCACATGGGTACAATGTGTGGAGCCCATTTCTGGTGTCCCTCGCCGTGACATTGCTGGAATATTGCTAAAAGCTGCGTAAAACTAAACTCACTCACTCACTAGTACAAATCAGCTCGTTGGTTAAACTAGGGGAATGATCTATACATCGTCCAGCACTACGGGCTTTCAATCGGGAGATTGAGGCTTGTACTCTCAAGCCTGTAGGTCGGTGTTATAACTAAGCTTGTACTCACAGATTTTCCAGAGTGTCGTGGATGTTGCTGAAGGCGTTGAACTGTATGTTGTTCAAGGGCGGCTCCTGACTGTGGACACGGATTGTGACGATCTTTGGGAGATTTGTGATGCTACGGGCTGTCAACACCTCGATCTTGTTCTTTACGAGGTCACTGAATAAATCATCATCATCATCATCATCATCATCATCATCATCATCATCATCACCACCATCATCATCATCATCATCATCATCATCATCACCACCATCATCATCATCATCATCATCATCATCATCATCATCACCACAGCATCATCATCATCATCATCATCATCATCATCACCACCATCGGCATCATCATCACCATCGTCATCATCACCACCACATCATCACCACCACCACATCATCATCATCATCATCACCATCATCATCATCATCATCATCATCATCATCATCATCATCATCATCATCATCATCATCACCACCACAGCATCATCATCATCATCATCATCATCATCATCATCATCATCATCATCATCATCATCATCATCATCACCACCACAGCATCATCATCATCATCATCATCATCATCATCACCACCATCGGCATCATCATCACCATCGTCATCATCACCACCACATCATCACCACCACCACATCATCATCATCACCATCACCATCATCATCATCATCATCATTAACATCACCATCAATATCATTTTCACACATACAAAATGCAGCAGAAGGGGGTATGAATACATGAGTACTAGTATATTTGGGATCACACTTTCTCAGGGAAGTACAATTTCTACACTTCCGGAAATCAAACCCACACTCTCAGAGCGAAGCACCAAAATATTAAAATGTTTATCCACCAGGCGCCTACACGAAGCCCAGACAACCAAGGGGACTTCTTGTGGGAAGAAGTGCCTTTTCGACCATACGAAGATCACTCCCAGTGATTCATGTATGAAAACTCAACACTCAAAACTGCTGGTAGTACTAGTAGAAGAAGTAGTAGTCATACTAGTAGTAGCAATGATGATGGCTTGCTTTTGTAGTAGTAGTAGTACTAGTACTAGTAGTAGTAGTAGTAGTAGTAGTAGTAGTAGTTGTTGTTACTGTTGTAGTACTCGTTGTACTAGTAGTAATAATAACAGTAGTATGCGAACATATTACAAGTCATAGAATATCGGACAACCTGTCATTTGAACCTGAATGTCTAGAATACTTACAGATGCACCAATTCCGGTAAATTGTTGAACGTTCCCTCATGAATCTCAGAAAAAGAATTTGCATGTAATTCTCTGAAACAGAAAGAACTTGTGAGGCAGGCCTCCCGTGGTAGAGAAAATATGTCCACTGAGTTCTGAAATGACGCAGGATGCAAAATACAATATTGCATTAAATAGTGAAGTAGATGGTTGTCCCCCTGTAGGTTCAGAAGAGGGTTCTAATCGCTATCGCCTTAAACCACAGGCTTCAAATGCGTCAACAAATCGTGCAATACAGTTTCGATAGATAGACATGTAAAACAACTCTCTTTGACAATCTATGACATTAAGATTAGTCACAGTAACTGCTGTTTTTCAAGTTATTAGTGTTGTATCTAGTTGCGACTGGAATACTCACAGAATCTGCAGCTTGGTGAGGAGTGACAAGGCTCCTGGTTCTATATACCATATGGCGTTATTGCTCAGGTTCCTGGAAATATCAGAGTTTGGTGGTTTCACTACCATCAGGTACATGGTTGGTATTATGTGACAAATGGATACGTTAGAATCATATCGCAAATAATGTATTATACACAATTAATGCAAACAATGAACTGTGTTCTTTGCTACAATGAGGTGTGTATAGCCCATCGGTCTCAGGCGCTGCAAATCGCTAAGCAGAATTGCTTCCCTTGGGAACCACAAAATCCTATGATTCATGGGTTCGAATTTTGGTTCGCCCCGATTACGTTTCCAGGTTTGTTAGCACGATAACCGAGCTCCTGGCTTCCACCAAAGTGGTAACGTTTCCCAAGGCAACGGAAAAAGTACCACTCTCGTCAACCACACAGAAAGACCTTATATACCAATTCATTAACTCCTGCCATTTCTCGAACACCAAACACTACCAGACATTTCGGATCTCCAGGCAATCAACTGACCTCATATACTGAACTAAGGGCATCTGTACTTACAAATGTCTCAACGGCGAATTCTTCAGATTCGTGAGATGTTCTCTGGAGACAACTTCAAGCTCATTTTCATTCATAGATCTGTTTTGAAGAAAATACATGTATGATAAACGCATGTTCTTGAATGAAACGACTGTTACTTCTTGAATCCTTTCAGATATTGTTGGTTATGAGAGTCCCTGAATCAGACGTTAGGCGGTTATACTTTCTGTCCATCAAGAAAATAGACACATGAAACAAAACGTGTTTCATTACATCAATAAAACACACAGCAATATTGCAACTGTATGGCGGCAGTCTGTAAATAATCGAGTCTGGAGCAGACAATCCAGTGATCAACACCATGAGCATCATTCTACGCAACTGGGATACGATGGCATGTGACAACCAAACCCGCGAGCCTGACCACACGATCCTGTTAATCGCCTCTTACGACAAGCGGACCGCCTCCTTGGTGTAGTGGTTAGAGCGTCCGCCCGGGGAGCGGAAGGTCGAGGGTTCGATCCCCGACCGCGTCATACCAAAAGACGTGAAAATATGGTACTTGTTGGTCCCTGCCTGGCGCTCGGCATTAATGGGTACAACAACGGCTCAAGTCTGGGCTAGTACAAAGCCTGTTACGACGTAAATTGTAATAAAAACGCAAATTGTAATACTTGCAGCAAATTGTAATAAACTTGACGTAAATTGTAATAAAAACGTAAATTGTAATAAAAATTGACGTAAATTGTAATACGCAAATTGTAATAAAAATTGACGTAAATTGTAATAATTTTCGTTGCGGTAAAATGTAATAAATATTTACGTAAATTGTAATAACAGTTTTAATCACTCGTAAATACGCGGGTGTTTGTTTTTCGTTGCATTTCATACATCAAATAAGCTTGTTAGGGCGATAACTCAAGAAAGAAATGATGGATTTTGTTCAAATTTGGTACTAAGGTATATTGGCGGGATTCACCGACACAAGTGAAATGGAGTGACCTTGAGATAATTTTCAAGGTCACAGCAAAATTCTGAGGGTTTTGCCAATATAAAGATTGTTAGCGCGATAACCCAAGAATGAATTGACAAATCTTAGCTAAATGACGAAAATGATATTCGTCCTGATAAATAATCGATATAAACTGTCCTCTGTATCATGTCTTTTCGCAAATATCTTTTGAGGTTTTGATATGTATACATATAAAGTGGGGTTGGGGTAGGGGTGGGTTTCTAACGGGTATATCTAACACACTTGCATGCATGTAGAGTCGGAGAGGTGGGTGGGTGTTCTAACGGGTATAACTACGAGGGACGTTCAAATAGTAGTCAGCCTCACCTAGAATATGATACAAATGCAGCTGTTTTTATGTTTTATTTTTCTAAATATTATCTGTCAGCCTCAAGCAAATTGGTTTTGCTATGTTGCAGCCTCACGATCCCCATTTTGTGAGACTTTGTATCTTGGCTTGGTACTCCCAAAAAACGTAAAATCTGCAATAAAATGCATCACAAACTTCAGGAAACAAAATATGCTATGTTTGAGATTGGTAGAAGTCGGCTAGAATCAAACTTAGATATTAAACTGCACAAAAAAAGCAATTTCAAAACTACAATCGCTTGTTCAAATGACTCCCCATTCTGTTTACTGAAAGAACTCGAGAAAGAAATGATGGATTTTGTTCAAATTTGGTACCAAGGTTTATTGACTGGAGATTGGAGATTTACCGACACCACTTGAATTTAGTGACCTTGAGGTCATTTTAAAGGTCACAGCGAAGGTGTAACAGTTTTGCACATGCCAAGCTTGGTAGCCGCGAACTCAGGAAAGTATTAATAGATTTTGATCCAATTTTATATCAAGGTGTATTGGCGGGATTCCCCCCAACACCAATTGATTGGGAAACTTGTGCTCATTTTAAGTTCACAGTGAAAAGTGTTTTGCACATGTCTAACTTTTTAGTGCGAAAATACAAGACAGAATTAATATGTTTTGCTTAAAGGTAGTACCAAGATGCGTTGGGAGTATCGTCTAACGCCAGTCGAATTCAGTGACCTTCGGATTATTTTCAAGGTCACAGCGAGTATTCTTGCGATATCTCCAAACCTAATGGATGGAATTTGTTCGCATTTTGTATCAAGGCATCAGATGACAGTTTCGGTAACGTTTACATAATTTTCAGGGTCAGACAGAGGATAATTGCGACATTAAGATATCGACATGTGGCGGGGGTAATAGCTATGTTTGTGACAAACGCTTTGTCATTACTAATTTTCAAATTTTTGTTAGCATATGGTTTCTATAATTTCATGTTAATTCTACCAGCTGTGAAATTATTCGTGACACGTCTTAAAAAAGCCAGAGATTATTTGTGTATGTTTCGAAAATTAAAGTTAATTGTTTTCATTATGGAGTTATTTTCGATGTTGACGCAAGGACAAATTTTACGAGCAATAGCTTTCAATAATTTAATTTTATTTCTATTACATTTTGAAGTTCTTCATAGCATACTAGTATTCCAAAATAACAGGATATTGTTTGTTTACGCTTTGAAATGTACGTTTCTTCTTCATTTTCGAATTATTTTTAATGTTGACGCAAGGATATATTTGAAGTCAATTTTATGTTTTGATCATATGTGATTTATTATGATTTATGTTTCGATCATACATTCATATATTGCGTTGTCATAGAGTAACCTGGTTCGTATTATTTTCTTCATCATATTACTACATATTATTGTATTTTTATGAGACGGAATTTTAAGTTACATTTGCTAAGGATATCATAAATCGCTGGCGCCTGGTTATTCCTTGCCACATAGCAGTCAATCTGTCTACTCATTTGTTGTATTTGATTGATGCATTTAAAATAAAATGTAGAAATGATATTGAATTGCATCATTTGCTTCAAGGAATCGATCAGATGTGCTCGTTATCAAAGTAAAGTCAAAACTTCTTTCTGTAAGGTATACAGTGGAAGTTGACACCTTAATTGTTATGGGTAGACCAAAGAAATCATTTATTTAGTTTCACCGCTCAAAATACAACAAAGAACACAACGGGTGGCATTAACCTCAAAGAATGATAACAACAATGCTTATAACATACGAGGGCAAACATATCGGGGATAATTTGTTTTCATGCGATATGCACCGGGTAAAATATCACTTTGTCTCGGTGACATGACAATGAACAATGTTATGACGTCACGTTGCTTCTAAGAAGCCGCCTTCTACATACAACGATGACGGGGAGCCTGCCTTTGTTGGAAAGTAGATTATCGCGTAATTTCCGCAATTAAAGACTTCGTTAATAAATAGAAAATTATATTCGTGACCATAATATGCTAGGTTAACGACCTAAATATCGGCATATCGCATCTCTGGTTCCGAAAATACCAAGATTGAGGCAGTTGTGTTGTAAACTGATATTTATCTTCTATAAAGTCGGCTATATTCAAACCATGAGAAATGTCGTCAAATAATGTCTGATGACAGTTACCAACGTCCCAATAGTGTCCATATATTTTAGAAATCTATAACAATATTTAAAGCACAACCTCACTACTTTTTTGATAAATGACAAAGGATTATCAGGGTTATCTTGTTGTTCAAAACTCTGTTAACTTTTAACAGGTTGTTAACGTGACGTTAACTTAACACACCTAAGGACCGCCGCTAACTTTCTAACAGTGTGGTTAACTCGCAAATGGCGTTCATGGCTAACACTGCTTTCATGATGCCAGTTCAGCAAAGAAAGGATAGGGTGTATCGTGGACTGGACTTCGATATTGGAAATTATTCTGACGAAGAGTTACATACGAACGAAACTGTATCTATGCACATCATAGGAACTAAAATACATGTTGTACAAGTACATGATGCCTACGTTTCATCTTTTAACACTCGTGGAAAGGTTTATATATGCTTTACTACACTAAATGTGTGAATTTCTTCTGTAAATATTATTCAAACAAACACTTTCATAGAATATAACACGTACACCCTATACCCACGTATGATATGATATTGAACAAGGCTACATGTAGATAATTAAATTAGTTTCATGAAAAAATATCCGAACGATTACATTATGATACTGAAAGTGTAATCGGCGGGATATGGTGATTGTGTATATACTCTTATTCTACCTGGAACGTCACCTCAGAGAAATTGCCAAATACACTCCCATTTTAAGAAAGAGAAGAAGCCAGAAATGCCGATTATTACCGTTGTCGTTCTGCGTGATTTTGCGTCATTCATGGCGCCAGGCAGGACAGAAACTTTTCGTGTAAACACATCACATTCCTGTATTGTATCTATTTTTAATTTCCTATTTCTTGCTACTATGCTCTTTCCATGCAAATGGGTGTCTGAAAATTTGTGAAAATGCTACACAGTGTAAAGTCTGAAATTGTCTTTGTTTACATTTCAAACAGGTGTTGTCTTTCGAGCACAGCAGTTGTTTCCACCCCCAATATCGTTCGTTTCACTTTATCTAGACACTTGGTATTGGTGCCAAAAAGACCAGTTGTAATTAGATTCTAAAATGTATGAGGAATTCAGTAGGGCTGGGACGAGTAGGAAACAATGGAATCGAGTACCCGCATGTATGTACCCGAATCGGAATCGATTACCCGGAAATGTAAGAAATTCATTCGGGTCAACTTTCTGAATATTCAATCACGATTTGACAGAGATTATTATAGAAAACTTGAACAGTTGGTAATAAGACATTAAAACTGACCTCAAGCTATTTAATTTACGTCTGTTTAACCAATATAGAGAGTAACACCATTACTTACATTCCTCGTTATAACAACGAACGTATTGTTCCTGCTGCTACTGTAACTTAACTACTCACTGCTCATGCACAGATAAATTACAGTCATTAAAACTATGCTCCATTAATCGGACAATACCAAAGATGTAAAAACCCGTGAATTTCCGGGTTAGAATATGGATCTTCAGTAACCCATGCTTGTCGTAAGAGGCGACTAACGGGATCGGGTGGTCAGACTCGCTGACTTGGTTGACATATTTCATCGGTTCCCAATTGCGCACATCGATGCTCATGTTGTTGATTACTGGATTGTC